CTCCGGTCCTGCTGCTGGGCACCGCCGGGCGCAGCCCGGCTCCGTCCTCTCCGCGCCTCCCTGCAGGACCGACGGCCGTGCCCGGGATCCCCCCGAGCCTCCTCTTCTGCCGGCTGAGCCGCCCCGGCTCTCCCGGAATCCCACCCCAGCCATTTCCCACGCGGTGCTGAGGAGGGGAGGGGATGCGGGGGACGAACGGGGCCGGCGGTTGCGGTCCTGCGACTCTGCCCTCCGTGCTGCCCCGTCCTTCCCCAGAGCCGGGCTCTGGGGTTACTGGAGCCGCAGAAATGGCCGCAGGCAGAAGTGCCGAAAAACGACCGCTAAGCATTTCATCATTTAACACGCAGAGCGATAAGCAGCGCCCGGCGGCCCCGCGGCACGGGGCGGGCGGCGGCGGGGACGCGGGGCGGCGGAGCGCCGCTTTCCCGGCACGGAGCCCCGCGGCCGCGGCCGCCATTGGCGGAGAGCCCGCGCTCGGCCCCGCCTTCGCCGCGCTGCCATTGGTCCGGAGGGCGGCGCTCCGCGCGGGGTCCTTTCGGTCCGCGGTCGCGCCGTCATTGCGTCATCGCCGCGCGCGTCCCGCATGGCCCCGGCCCGGCTGCCCGCGGCGCTGCCCCGCGTCATGCGCCTGCTCCGCTTCCAGCGCCNNGGGCGGCCGGGCCCCGGCTGGGGCTGCAGGAGGACGAGGGCGGGGACGTGGTGGATCTCAGCGAGGCCGAGCCCGCGCTGCCCCGCTCCATGCGGGCCTTCCTGGAGAGCGGCGAGCACGGGCTGGCGGCTGCCCGCAGGTGGGGGTCCGGAGGTGGTGAATGGGGCCCGGAGGTGGGCGAGGCGCTCCGGAGGTCGGTGTGGGGTCGCGAGGTGGCGGTCTGCCGGGCCCCGAGGTGTCTCCGCCGCTGCAGAGCGGGTATCGGGGTGTCACGCTGTGTGCTGGGGTCCCGCGGCGGGGGCCGGGCGCTGCTGCGGTGCTCCGGTGTCCCGAGTCGGGCGCTGAGGCCCGCGGGTGGAAGCCCGGTGCCCCCCGCGCTCAGCCCCGCCCCGCAGAGCGCTGGCCTCCGGCCGGCACCGTTTGCCCCGGGCGGGATTGCGGCTGTTGGCGCCCATCGACGACCCCGAGAAGGTGATCTGCGTGGGGCTGAACTACCGTGACCACTGCCTGGAGCAGGACGTCAAGGTGCCCAAGGAGCCGCTCATCTTCAGCAAGTTCCCCAGCGCCATCGTCGGGCCCTTCGATGACATCGTGCACCCGGCCGAGAGCAGCGTGAGTGCCCGCGGGCCCTCTCCCCCTGCAGGGTACGGCCAGGCCCAGCCCCCCTGCACGCCATCTTCTCCCCCAGGAGGTGGACTGGGAGGTGGAGTTGGCTGCCATCATCGGGAAGACGGGGCGGCACGTCCAGGTAAAGCTTTCTAAGGGTGTCCAGAAATCCAGCCCCGCTGCGTGTTCCCATCCTGTTGGCTGGGTGGGTCCCTCTGCCTTCCGCCTGCCCACAGGAATCAGAGGCTATGGAGCATATTGTGGGCTTCACTGTGGCCAACGATGTTAGTGCTCGGGACTGGCAGATGCGCAGAAATGGGAGGCAATGGCTGCTGGGGAAGACCTTTGACACCTTCTGTCCCATAGGACCGGCTATCGTCACCAAGGACTCAGTGACAGGTGAGGACTGGGCAGAGTGGGAGGCTTTTTTTCTGGCTCCATGGGATGACACATCTCTTCTGCAGATGTCCACAACCTGCGCATCCGCTGCAGTGTCAATGGGCAGCTAATGCAGAGCAGCAGCACCAACCAGCTGGTCTTCAGGCTGCCCCAGCTCATCGCCTGGGTGTCCCAGTATGTAGCACTTGGGGGGGGAGTGGAGAGGGGAGGGGCACCATCCTGGTTCTCCAGGTGCTGGGGGGACACCAGCTGACACCTCCTGTGCCTGCCAGGTTTGTCACGCTGCGCCCTGGAGATGTCCTGCTGACGGGAACCCCTCCCGGTGTGGGGGTTTTCAGGAAGCCCCCCGTGTTTCTCAAGGTGAGCATGGAGTGGGGTCACTACATAGGGCCGGGTGGGTCACAGTGGCAGAACAAGAACAGTTCCCTCTCAGGTTAGCACTTCAGCTTCATGCGTTCCCCTCCCTGTTCCTTGTCACCAACCTCCTCAGCAACCCACATTTCCCCTTTCTGGGTTTCCAGCTCCTGCTGGAAGTAGAAAACCCTGCCACTGCTCTCCCCTTGCAGCCCCCTCCCCATCCATCCTCCCTGTGGGGGTGCAGAAGGAGCTGCCAGATGCATGGGGCTGCAGCATCTCCTGCCTTTGCAGCAAGGTGACGAGGTGCAGTGCGAGATTGAGGAACTGGGCACCATCTGCAACAAGGTGGTGTGAAGACCGAGCCTCCACCTCAGACCTCCCGTGCCTTGCCGCAATGGCTCTCAATAAATCTGCACCAGGAGACGGCTGCTGCTCCCGGCTTTATTGCTCTGCAGGGTTGGTGGCTACAGCTGCATGAACTGCTCGAGGAAGGCTCGCAGCTTCCCCCAGCCCTCGCTGGAGCTGAATGGCTGCACAAGGTGCAGAAGGGGCCCCAAAGGGCTCGGCATCTCCTTCAGCACCTGGGGGGGATTGGGTGTCACCTGCAAGACTGCTGATGGGGATGGGGGCAGAGCCCCCTCAGCCTACACTCACCCCTATGTTCTTGAAGCTCTGCAATGTGCTCAGCACCAGGCTCCACATGGGGCACTCTGGAAAGACAGAAATCCTCAAAGGTGCCCCCCACCCCTGTTCCACCCACAGCCCAGCCGGGGCAGGAGGACCCCCAACATCATGCCCCTGCTCACCCAAACCGTCCTCTGCCAGGAACTGCTGCAGTGCACATGCACACGTTGCTTCTAAAGGGAGAGCAGGATCAGCATTGGGATGGGGAGAAAACCTCAATGCCCCCTCCCCCCCACCCCACAGCACCACAGCCCCCTCCAGCTTCAGCAAGAAGCTGAAGTTACGAATGCAAGTGTGCCTCAGTCTCCCCCAGAGCTGAGTGGGGCTGATGTGGGGGCAGAACAGGTGGCCCAGGGTCATGTGGGAGGTTCAGGGAGAGTCTTACCAGGCTGGGGCCAGCTGTATTGCTCCAGGAAAGTCACTGCTCGTACATAGGTTGTCAGCACAGGGCTGAGGAGGTGACAGAAGAAGAGGAGGAAGCCGGGTGAGTCTGTGGGCTCGCAGATCTGGAGAGGAAAGAGCCAGATTTTCAATGAGTTTTTTAAGCCTCAGTGCCCCAAGGCATCCTAGGGCCACGGAGCAGGGAGCCCCTGCATACCCTGAAGCAGCGTTTGCGGTGGTTGTCATCACTGTCACTGTCACTTTCACTGAAGTCCAGGTTGGTCCAATGCGGTGTCCTGCTGCATCGCCGTGAGGACACATCACAGAGATAGTGCTCACCCTCCTGCAGAGCAAAGCTTTGGTCTGCATGTCCCCATCCCCTCACCTCTACTCAGGGCAAATCTCCAGGGGAGCAGTGGACTCGTGCTGCAGTCCCTTGTTCCCTTCCCAAACAGGACTGGAGGGCACCCACCTCTTCAGTCTTCAGTAGCCCGCACAGTGTGAGCTTGTCCAAGACATCCTGGCTCTGGCAGTCAAGGGGCTGGCAGGGCTGCAGGGAGAAGGGGGTGGCAAGGAGCTGGACAGCCACCTCCATGTGCCATCAGCAGCCCTAGTGCCACCTGCATCTACCTTCAGCCCCAGCAGGCTGGGGGGCAGCAGCTGCAGCAGTGCCAGGATCTTGTGGTGCAGTTCGTCCTCACTGAAGGCGATGCTCGAGGGGCAGGGGGCCTCCCCCACAAAGGGCAGCAGCTCCACCAGCAGGGCACGGATGGCACAGGCTGTGGGCACAGCATAGTGAGTAGCATCACCGCTGCCCAATGCAGGGACCCCCAGCACCTTACTGCTCACCTCCCACCGCCTCACTGGCAAAGACAGGCACAAGTTGGGCACTGTGGCGGCTCAGCTCCCACTGCGTCTCTGCTGAGTCCTTGACAACCACCATGACATCACCAAGGGGTGCAAGATGGTAGAGGGTGAGGTGGGCACTGAGCAGGGCCAAGCTGTGCAGCACCAGGGCGCGGAGCTGCCCCGAGAAGCTCACGTCATGCTGCCGCAGCAGTGCCTCCTCCAGCAGCCACGCAAAGTCTGCCATGAGCTGGGAGAGCCGCACACACTGCAGGAAGAGGGGGCTGAGCTGGCCAGGAGCTACAAGGGGCAGGCCTGGAAGCTTGCTCCAGCAGCAGACGAAGCTGGGACCCCAAAGGACTCTGCCTCACCTTGCGGTGCTTGTGCAGCAGCAGTGCCGATGTGATCCCCACAGCCGTGACGGCAGAGCACGCAGTGGCATCTGCGAGGAGCGAGAGGCACTCTGCTGTTTGCACTCTGTTTACAGTGCATGTGCTGCCACGCAGCAGCCACACGTGGAAATGAGCAGTAACAGCAGCATGGCTGCTGTCAGTCATCGAGGAACTGGGGACATGCAGTCCTTTGAATTCCCATGCCCTTCCCCAAAGCTCTGTACCGCTCAGGGCATGCAGGCCCAGCTTTGTCACCATCATTTCCTCTTCTGCCTCTGAGCTGGTGGTCGTTCTGTGCTCTGGACCATCCACCCTGCTGTAATCCAGCTGCCTGGAACCATAGGAAATAGAGAGGTGAGAAAGCGGGGCTGGGAACAGGCATTGAGGGCAAGGCACTGCTCCCCCTGGCTTACGGCACACCGAGGATGGTGGGCAGCAGCTCCTCCAGTGGCTTCCCCATGCTGCTCCTGCAGATGAGGCTTTGTGACACAAACTCCTGAAGAGGAGGACACAGCCCATGAATGCCTCCAGCCCACAACTGACTCATTGCTTTCAGTCCCTCCAAGAGCTGCCCCATGCGCTCATGGAATCTCTGCAGATCCCCCCAACAACCCAAGTCCCTCTGTACAACTCCACAAGGCTCACACAGCCCAAAGTATTGCTGCAGCATGTCCCCCGGGACTGGGCTGGACTCTGGGAGCCAGCTCTACCACAAGGGCCCCAACTGGACCCCACACCACTGTACCTGCAAGGAGAAGGGCTGGGCCAAGTCCACACGAGCGCAGCCAAAGCATCGGCACAGGGCTCGGCACGCAGCCCAGAGGCAGGCCCCGAGGCCAAGGGCCTGAGCACTGTGCTGGGGGGAGAGGGAAGGCAGCATTAATGGGGGGTGACAGAAGGGATGCCCCTATTACCAGCTGAGGTGCTGTGTGCAGCCTCACCGCTCCATTCCTGCAGAATCTGTCGGGAGTCTGGTCGTAGGCGATGCCCACAGGGACCAGTAGGATGTCAGGCACAGCACCATCCCGCACAGCGTGGTACAGCGGGGCCAGCCATGCACGGGCCGGGCTGGAGAGGTGCCACGGGGCACAGGGCTCCTCCAGGAAGACCACCAGAGGCTGCTGGCTCCTCAGCACCTCCTCGACGTACTGGAGCAGAGGGGTAAAGCTGGGGCTGACGGTGGCAGTGTAGGAGCCTGTGGGAGCTGCCACCACCCATTGCTGGGGGTTTAGCGTGGCCTGGCAGCTTTGCCCTTCTGTCTGTGAGCCCAAGGTGCCCTCACTGAGTGCCTTGAGAGCTTGGGGGGGCAGGAGGGAGGTTCTTCCTCCACTGCAGGGGTTGGAATTGGATGATCTTAAACCCAACCCAACCACATTCCCATCCCAGCACTGGGGGAATGCTAGGACATACCGAGGCCAGCACAGCTGCTGGGAGCTCTCCATCCTGGTCACTCAAAGCCTGCTCCATCCTCGTGGGCAGGAAAACTGCTCCCAGACAGCCAAGCAAGGCCCTCAGGGGAAGAAACCACCATGAGTGCCCACCCTGCACAAGATCATGTCCCCATTGCCAACCCTGCCAACCTTCCCACTCCCTAGCCCAGCTTGGTGTGCACAGCTGCATTCACCCCATGTGGGGAAGCAGCCACATGCCAGCTGGACAAGGATTCCCCATGCCTTACCGCAGGCAAGGGCTGCAGGTCAAGTTGCCCACCGTCACCCTGGGCACCCCCAGGCCCTGGGAGAAGAGGAGGAAGGATAGGAGCAGCCCATCCACCTGGGACTTGTGGGTGGAGAGGAAAACCAGCGGCACGCCAGGCTGTGGGGATAGAAGATGCAGTGAGAGCTCGGCAGTGCAGTGTGCCAGGAGCAGGCAGGCAGGTTCCTCACCGTCCTGGCGGCCCTCAGCACCATCTCCAGCTGCCCCTGGTGCAGCTGCACGCTGAGGAAGAGGCGGCTCAGGAAGCGGAGCAGGGCCCAGCAGCACAGCCTGAGGGGAGGAGAAGCACAGCACAGGGGTGAACAGCTCTATGGGGCTGTGGGCTGCACCCAAAGCCCTCCAAAACCTCAGCCAGGCGATGAGACAGCACCCAGTCACCAGCCAGGGCTGTGGGCACGTCCTTTCCCCATCACTGCACCATCCCCTGCCTCAGTTCCCCCATCCGAGCACCAAGCGGGGCTGTGCAAGATGGCTTACTGCACAGCGACGACTCCTCGTCTCACTGCTCAGCTCCCACGAAGCAAATAAACAGCTTTATTATAAATTAAGTTAAAACATTAAAGGCTGGATGTGACAAGACCACCCCCTCTCCCCCAGCAACAAAAGCTGAAGTCAATTACCCCTCCATCTCCCCGTCCTCCCGCACACCGCTTACGGGAAGGATCCGAATGCTTTTATCCCCTGGGTAATTTCTTCCCTTTAAATACTTCAGACTGCTCAGAGGGTTCTTTTATTACAGCTCAATCAGACAAGCAATTAGGCTACAATGCAACCTTTAATTGCCAATTTCTCAATGACAGGAGGGAAAAAGGAAAAAAAGAAAAAAAGAGCTTAGAAAGAAAAATTTCCTTTTGCTTTGCTTTGCTTTCCATCCCCCCCAGCATGGCCTTTTTCCCCCTCTTTGCCACGCTGGTGTTGCACTCCACTCTACAGAGGGGACAATATCCCCACAGGGCTGTGTGAGTAGCAAACTCCCATGCATGGGGTTCTGCACAAACTGAAGGATGAGAGAGAGTGAGGCTGGGAATGACCCACCTGGGAGCTGGAACCCCCAGTCTGGGGCCCACACCCACCTGAGTACGGGGAGGCAGAGCGGGGCCTGGATCCTAGCCAGGATCCCGAGGACTTTCTCCTTGCACTGCTGCTGGAACTTGCTGTCCCTTTTGCAGCTGCATGCCTGGCTGGCAGCGACGTCCTGCACCCTGCGTGGAGATGAGGTTGGAGCAAGGGGTTAATGCGTTTTTCAGCAAAAGACAAAAAAAACAGTTATGGATTACAGTAATTACGATGTACCGGCTGCCAACCCTGTGCTGTATAATTATCAGTGACAAGGGTGGAGGTGACAGGTGCCTGACGAGGCCACGTCACCCAGCGCCATGCAGCACGGAGCAGCCCCCGTGAGAGGAGCCGAAGGGGAGCAGAGATCCGTCCCCACACACCTCTTATTGCTGCAGACTCTCTCCAGGAGATCCCTGGGGGTGTTGGTGAGCACCTTCCAGCTGCCCACAGCCAGGATGCAGCAGATCCGTCGCACCAGCCAGCCCCGGTACCTGGGTGAGATGAGCAGTGAGCACCGTGAGGCCCGCAGGGTGCTGGCACTGCGTCAGCCTCCCACACACATGCTCTTGGTGAGCATTTGAGGCTCTGGTTCCCATCTTACAGCTGGGGAAATGTGCTGGGAACATGCTGGCGGCTTCGGGATGCGAGGGAAGCTCTCCAGGCACCAGGCAGCCTCCCCAAAGCTGCTGCTGCCAGCGACAGCCCGCACAGCACGCAGCTCCTGCCAGCACCAGCAATGCTCCATCCCAAGCTGGGACTCCCCCAAATGTGCCCCACATCCAAACTAGACAAACACCAGCGGGTCAGAGATGGGTGAAATTGAGGCTTTGAGCTTTGCAGAGCACAGGAACCTGGTGTGAGGCGCTCAGGCAGCGAAGCAGGGACTGATACCTGTGTCTGCTCTCACTCTCAGCCTCCTATCTCCAGCCTCTCTTCAGCATCCCGCAGCTCCTGAGGCACACTGAGCGGAGATGAATTATTCAAAGAGTTTGAAAGCTGGGAGCTGGGATATTTCAAGCAGAAGGGAGCGTCATGACCCGATTTGGAAAAAAAACAAAGCGCAAAACTGCCAAATCACTAGGGACTGCTCAAAAAGGAGAGGAACCAGGGGAGTCCAGCACCTCCAAAACCAGATAACTGCAGGAGAGCAGCCACGTCAGCTCCTCAGCATCACAGCAGCTAAGCTCCAGCACTGGGCTGTGGGGAGGAAGACACACACGGGGGCTGGGAATGAGCTGGCCCAGCATGCATGAAATCTTCCTTGTGCCGGAGCCCAAAAGGAGAACAAAATACCCCCTGCCCTTTCTCAGGCTCTTCCCAACAGCTTCAAGAGTCCAAGTGTTGACTTCAGAACTCACAAACCCTTGACACTGTGGCTGGCTGCCCCTCGAGGCCATAAGGGTGACAGTGAGCAGAGGAACAGACCGAGCACTTTCCTTTCCACTGTTATTAGCGCTCCACACTTGGAGATGTGCCTACCATTCAGAAAATAATTAGCATGACTGCCTTCTGGACTAATTAGCGAGCAAGTGTGACAGAGAGGCATCCCCACACTCCAGTGCCACAGAGTAACTTAATTCGGACAAAGAAAGCACAAAATTTGGAATGGCTGTTCTGCCCAGCACTCCTAGCACAGGGCTCTGACCTCACCTGGTGTCCTCCTCCGTCACCCGGGTGGCACTGCGGAAGCCGAGGGAGCAGAGATGCGCATGGTAGAAGCCATCCTGGGAGCGGAGCAAGGAGGTCAGACTTGGCTTTGGCTGGGGGAGACAGCAGCCCTCAGCTGAACCCGGGCTCACCCAGCTCCTTGGGGTGCAGGCCTGGCAGCAGCGCCCCATGAGCGGCCGGAACCAGCGCCGAGAGGGGATGAAAACTTCCACTCTTTGCCCCGACTCAGAGAACCAGGCCTTCATCTGAAAAGAGGCAGAAATATAAGGGGAGGGATGGCACGAGACATCCTTCACCTGGAAATAATGAAGTGTGGCCGAATGGTGCCCAAAATGCATTCCCACTGGGGAGAAGGGAGGCCAGCCCCACTGCTGGGGAGAAACAAAGGTGCTGTTTGCTGGTGCCACCCCCGGGCTCAGCACCAATGTGTGCCACCGTCACTTCAGCAGTGTGGGGACCTGACAGGACCAGCACCCCGGGACGCTCACCGTGCACTGGTGGAGCTGGCCTGCAGAGATGCGTCCGGCACGGCCGCAGAGCTCAGCTGAGGAGACAGGAGCAGAGAGAGCTGGGATACGTGGGGATGTGCGCCTCGTCCCCGTCTCACGGCACAGAGGGCACGAGAGCAGCCAGGAGGCCTCTCCCCCCATAATTGGGATGGGAGGGCGAGGGTGGGACCCACAGGGCATAGGAAGGAAGACTGAGCCCCTCTCCCCACTGCAGGCACCTGAAGGGAAGGGAGCTGCTCCTCGGTGGGGATATGAGTCGTTCTCCTGCAGAGGGAAAGGAGGGGGGGAAAAACAGCAACCAGCACGCCAAAAGCCCTCGGGAAAAGAATTTCTTCTTTGTAAGACAGCTCCGGCACAGCTGCAATTGACTTTTCCCTCCCACACCCTCCTCCCCCAAGCACGTCGATGCCAATCTGCACCCAAAACCCTTACGGTCTCCCCGAAACACAGAGATCCCCTCCATCCCTGGGAGGGCTGGGGGTACCTGGAGTGGTGCCGCTTTCCACCGTGCCCAGACCCAACCCCACAGCGGCGGCCCCAAGGGAAGGGTCAGGCAGCAACAGCAGCGCAGCGTCCCACTGCTGCTCCTGGAAATCCCCAAACACGGAGAGACCCCAAAAAGCACGGCAGGAAAATAAACCAGCGCAGCCGCCCACTGCTGCTGAGGCGCAACGGTGGCAGCAGAGCAGGGCGATGGCCGGGGGCCGCTCACACGCCCCAGAACAAAGCCCTCTGCCAGAGCCGCAAACACTCCTTCCCCCGCTTCGCTTCAGAGCAGAGATTTTAAAGTCATTTCATTCCAGGAATCAGCGCTCAGCTCCTCCTGGCAGCCGCGAGCGCGCGCTGGTAGAAAAACAACCTGTTTGTCAAATGCGGTGGGGGGAAAGGAGGAACGGGGGGGGGGAAGGAGGAACGGGGCTGATGTCAGCACGTGCTGGGCCACCCGGGGGACCCGCGGGGAACCCGGCCGGGTGCCGACCACGGGCGCGCTGGGGGTGCAGGAACGGGACGGCCCGTCCTTGCGCCGTGGGGACGCCGAGCTGCAGCCGCACCGCGCCACAGCCGGGGTCCCTGCAGCCGGACGGGGTCGGGCCTGAGGAGGGGCTGCTGGCGCGGGGCGCCTCGTGGGCACACGAGGGGGGGTTTCCCCACTCCACCACCCCGCACGGGCTCCTTCCCCTCCGCGGGCCCACGGGGTCTTGTGGGTTTGGAAACCCACCCCACGTAGGGCTCTGGGTGGGGGTCCCACCCCGCACGGATCCCTTCGGCACCGCGCAGAGCCCACAGGGAGAAGAGACCCCCACAGAGCCAGGGCGCGGACCGGGCCACGTGCGTCCCGCAAGGCCCCGAGCGGGACCTCACCGCCCCGGCCCCACGCGGCCCCACACGGGCCCCATATGGACCTTCTTAGCCCCGCACGTCCCATACAGACCCCACACGGACCCCACGCCGGCCCCCGGCCCACCTCCGCGCAGCCCGACGCTGCCGCCCCGCTCCGCCCCCGGCCGTGCGGACCCCCGGGGCGGTGCGGGAGGCGGCGCTGGGCCGCGGGGGGGAAGGGATGAGGAGGGACAAAAGGCAGAAAATAAAAGTGAAGAGGCAGAGAATCGCGTCCCCTCGGCCGGGCCGGGCTCTGCGCTGCTCCCTCTTTTTTCGTCTCTCTGTCTTATTTTGTCCCTTTCCCCCTTTCTTTCCCCTTTTCCCCCATGCCCATCTCCATAGACTGTGTCCAACCCCATAGGATCACACCCACCCCAATAGGATGAAGCCCAACCCCATGGGACCATTCCCATCCCCATAGGATGTTGCCAACCCCACAAGACCATGTCCAACCCCACAGGGTCATGCCCATCCCCATACGACCATTTCCCATCCCTGTAGGATGATGCCCAGCCCCATAAGATCATGTCCAGTGCTATAGGCCCACTCCCATGCCCTACAGGATGCTGCCAACCCCGTAGGACCATTCGCATCCCATTTCAGCTGTGAGCAAACACAGCTCCATCCCCAGGAGCCCCACAGCCGCAGGCTGAGCCCCGGCTGCAGCTCATCGCACCCCACATCCCCCCGGGTTTTTTTAATGATCTTCCATCTTTGGGATTTGTTACAGAAATTGTTAAAAAAAAAAAAAAATGGGATTTGTTAAAATGAATTTTACATGGTCCCTCTTTGCAGCAAACCCAGCTTAGGGGGATTTTAGTGAGTCACCATGACAACCCGGTGCTGTTACTGGGGAGAGGAGGGCTGTGAGCACCGGGGAGTGAGGGGGGGGACAAAGTAAAGGGGCAGTGATGGGGCAGAGTGGGAACAGGGTCCATGTGCAGGTCACAAGATAATCCCCAGCCCCATAGGACCATACCCAAGCCCTTAGGATAATGCCCAACCCCATAGAACCGTGTCCAACCCCATTGAACTATGCCCAGCCCTAGCGAACCATTCCCATTCCCATAGGACCACGCTCAACCCCATAGGACCATGCCCAGCCCAAAAGGACCATGTCCATCCCCAAAGGATTTTGCCAACGCAACACAATCATTCCCATCCCCACAGGACCATTTCTAACCCCATAGGACCATTCCCATCCCCATTGCATGTGGCCAGCACAATAGGACCATTCCCATCCCCAAACCCATAGGACAATGCCCATCTCCATAGGATGTTTCCGACCTCACAAGACTATGCCCAACCCCATAATACCACTCTCAGCCCTATAGAACTGTTCCCAACCCCATAGGATCTTTCCCACTCCACAGAGCTGTGCCCAGCCCCACAGCCCCACACTGATATGGGATGTGGGGAAGCAAGAGGAGGGGCTATGGGGACTGCTGGAAGGGGCCCAGCATCTCAGCATGCAGCGGCCACTGTCACACGCCCTCTCCCATGCAGCCACCACCCCAGCACTGTCCCAGCACGCCGGGTTGGACTGACAGCCGATTTGGGATGGGGAGGAAAATGTCCAAGCTGGGAAAAGCCTTCCCAAAAAGCTCAGCTTGGCTTTGGGGCGGCCAGAGGCCACATCCCTGGTGGGACAGGGAGGTGGCAGAGGGCCAACGCTGCTCTGCCACCGCAGGAGCAAGATGTCCCCAGCTCTGTCCCATAGGGCTGAGCTCAATGTACACAGCCCCATGTCCTCTGCTTGTCCCTGGCTTTGTGTGGGGGGACTGGGCTTGGTTCCCTGGGAATGCGTGGGTCAGGGGTACTGTGCAGCACCGTGAGGGGCCCCATAGACCGGGGGTGGTGTGGGGAACAGGCCCCACATAGGGCCCACAGAGCCCATAGGGACTTGGGGAGATCCCACCCCCTCAGGCCCACAGAGCGCTGGGGGTTTGGGATCCCACTGATGTGGGGCACAATGTGCCATCGTGAGTCCCAATACATCAGCACAGGCTGTGATGTGGGGCTGCAATGCCCCGCTGTGTGTCATGCTGCACCACTGCCGTTCAGCACGTGCTGGTGTGGGGCACCATACACCACCACGAGTCACCACACGCTGCCATCATTCACCACACACTGCCACAATTCACCACACACCACCATAAGTCAATCACGATCCACCAGCGTGGGTCGTGGTGCTCTGTCAGGCGATGGTGTGGGTCACAGCACGCTGCTATGGGGTATCATACACCATTCTGAGCCGCAACAGCCCGGTGTGGGTCACAGCACACCAACAGAACCCGGCACCCACAGGCACAGATCACAAACACCCCCTGACCAGCCTATATCAAGCCTGTATCAGACACCCAAGAATCCCCTCCCTATCAGTACACTCAGCGCAGGGCTTTGTCCCCATCGCGGTTCGGTGACCTCAGGGCTGTGCCCCACGGGAGGGAATTATTCTCTGGGGGGGGGGGGGGNGGGGGGGTGATGTTTTTCTAATCATTTTCCTGCCATAAATACCCGACCCTGTGCAAACATTCTGTTCCCACTCGTGCTGCACGCATTCCTCCATTCGCTGCCTGTGACCCACAGCTGCGGAAATGGCTCAGCCCCACAGCTGCCCCCGGCCCCATGGATCCCCTGCAGTGGGGAGAAGACAGTGAGATGGCTCCTCCGACTACAAAATACCTTTTATTGTTAAAAGGCGGCAGCCGCCGGGATGTGGGGAAGATGGGGAGAAGGGGAAAATTGCCCCTGATTTCTTGGGGGGCACAGCGCGTGAGGTGGGGAGAAACGCAGCCCCTGCGCATCACTGTTGGTGGGATGGGAACACATGGGGCTGCGTGCCCCAAACCTGCAGGGCGGTGGACAAGGGAAGGAGAAATGGGGGGGGAGTGGGAAGGGAGAAAGGGATGGAAAAGGGGAAAAGGAGCAGCGGGCAGCAGGAGGGGCTGAGCCCCTCACCACGCCGTGTGGGCGCTGCGGCGGCACAGGATGCGGCGGAAGGCCCTGCGGAAGTCGCGGTTGAAGGCGGTGTAGATGACGGGGTTAAGCGAGCTGTTGCAGTACCCGATCCAGAAGAAGAACTGGAAGACGCCGTCGGGCACTTTGCAGCGCCGCGGGCAGACGGCGCCCAGGCTGTAGAGGAAGAAGAAGGGGAACCAGCAGAGAACGAAGACTCCGATGACCACGGCCAACACGAAGGTGAAGCGCTTCTCCCGGCTCGCCTGCGCCTTCCTCCGCCACGGAGCTGGGCTCAGCGCCGGCGCCAGCACCACACGCCCCGTCCCCGTGGCCACGGTGTCCCTGGGCCGCCCCGATGGCTGCGGGGACCCTCCGGGCACTGCCACCGGCTCACCGGAGCCCAGCAGCGACGTCCTGTCTGCGGGCAGGGAATGGGGGCCCGGGGCGTCCCCGTGGGCGGCGGGTGCGGTTCTGGGGGGGCCGGGGGCGGCGTGGGGCTGGCGGCGGTGCCGGCGCCGGGCGATCAGGTAGATGCGCAGGTAGACGAGGATCATGATGAGGCACGGCGCGAAGAAGGAGCCGACGCTGGAGGAGAGGATGTACCAGGCCTCCTCGTTCAGCTTGCACTGCGGCCGCCCGCCCGGAGCCGCCTTCTTCTCGCCCTTGTAGACCAGCGGCGGCAGCGAGATGGCGGCGGCAATGCTCCAGACGATGCCGATGCCGCACTTGACGCGGCGCGGCGTGCGCTTGGCATTGTACTCCACGGCACGGCTGACGGACCAGTAGCGGTCCAGGCTGATGGCGCAGAGGTGGACGATGGAGGAGGTGCAGAAGAGCACGTCCAGCGCCAGGTAGATCTCGCACCACGCCTTCTGGAAGTACCAGTAGCCCAGCAGCTCGTTGGCCAACGAGAAGGGGATGATGAGGACGGCCACCAGGATGTCGGCGGCCGCCAGAGACACCAGGAAGAGGTTCTGGGGCGCCCGCAGCGAGCGGCTGGTCAGCACGGCCAGGATCACCAGAGTGTTGCCCGCGATGGTGAACAGCACCAGGAAGGTGATGGCAGCGGCGATGGCGGCGGCAGCCTGCACCGAGTAGCCGCCCGCGGGGCTCTGCATGGCGAGGGATGGTGGTCCAGCCACAGGGACCGGCTGGTGGCACTCAGCATCCCCCGGAGGGACAGGTGGGGCGGGAGGATGGGGCAGAGGAGATCTGGGGGACGGGGGTCCCGATGGGCATGGTGCTGCCGGGCTACCTGCGCCCTAACCTAACCCTAATCCTAACCCTGAACCCTAACCTTAACCCTAAGCCTGCACCCCAACCCAAACCCTGCACCCCAGCCCCACACCTTGCCCGCGGGTCTCTGGATGTTTCCCCGTCCCCGCCCGCCGCTGCCGTTACCGGTGCCGGTGCCGCCGGGCTCTGCTCCTCCCGGCGCCGCCTCCCCGGGTTTTATTGGGGACGGGAGGGCTTTGAGCTGCCCCCGCCCCCGGGGCGGACCCGGGGACCGGGAGCTGCGGACGGCCCGGCGGCGCTTTGGCACCGGCTGCGTCCCCTGTCCCCTTCTCACCGCCCCCAGCGCTGCCATCCTCACCCCATGACCTCCATGACGCACCGGTACCTCCATCCCTTTGCAGCACGTGTCCCCTTGACCTCCCCCCGGCACCCACATCTCTTTGGAGGACCCCAGAGCCGCTGTCCCCCGCTGCCCTAAGCCCCCTGACCCGAGCGACTACCAGGGATGCTGACCCCAAACCTGCGCTCACTCGTTTCCATGCCAGCCCCGGGGATGCTGCAGGGGTTGCCTCCAGCATAGCCCTGTGCTGAAATGTGGGGTGAGAAAGGGAGAAACACAGCGAGGAACGAGCCCCCTGCCCTGCTCCCCTTCCCCCACCCAGCCCAGCCAGGGAAACCACCAGCCAGCCCACACCAAGAAGTCTCTAAACGCCACGGAGTGTGTTGTTTTTTTTTTTCCTTTTAACAGCTTATTTTGGTACATCCATACACAGCCACTCCCTGGAGGTGCTGAGGAGGGCTCCCGAAACGAGGGGCTGCTGCCCACCCCAACCTCAGCCATGGGGCTGTGCTGGTGCCGTCAGCACCACAGATGGGCAATAAGGAGCTCTAACGCAAAGCTCCGAGTTTCACACCCCTCCACGTGCTCCGGAGCAGTGAGCCCTGCAGCAGGGAGAGCTCCCACCTGAAGTTTCCCACCTGCACTTCCAGCCTCTGCCGGGGTAAGGATGGGCAACGCCACACATCTGAGCCGGCAAGGCAGGCGTGGAGTCCAGCACAAGGCTGGTGGCTAACAAAACCCAGCTGTTTTTTTTCTCCTACCTTGATTTCAAATCACTGACCCATTTAGGCTGGAAAACCCTACCTTGAACACCGTGTGACCCACCAGCCTGACTATCTCTACTTGGAAAGGGTCAAAGGCTGCGGTTTGCACCTATAGCTCCGAGCGACACCAACAAACTGCAGCCAGGATGCTGGGGCAGGCAGGGATGGACACAGCCACCCTGCTGCAAAATGCACGCTCTGCAGCACTCTGCTGACTGCCCAGGCCCCCAGCTCCCCTCCCAGTGCCCATGCTGCATACCCACACAGCACTGAGCCCCTCATTTCAGATCAGCCGTGCCTCTCCCTCCAGCTCAACCTGTAGGTCACAAATGCCTGTGAAGTTTATCTCTTCACCAGCCCGGCTGCTGCTGATGGACAGAGGGGATGGTTGCTGGATGCCATCGGCTGTGGACACTGGGCTTCTGCTCACATAGGTCTCCAAGGATTTCAGGAGCTGCTTCGGTTTCTTTTTGGTGGAGAACTCCAGTTCTGGAAAGGTCAAAGAGAAGCATCAAAACAGCAAGGCTGGGATGATGCTGGGGATACACGCTCCTATGTAAGGCACTACCCAAATATCAATAAGCTTTATTTCTTGAGTCCCAGTGTATCACCATATCCCCTCCTGGAAAGCTCACAATTATGTTTGCTCACAAAGCACAAAAGGCTGCTTGTCACCCCCCAGCGGAGCTCAGCAACATAGCCCTGAAACATCCCTGCTGTTTAATGTAGTGCATACCGCTCCACTTATGTAGTGTGCTGCAAACAGAGATTAAACAACTATGTGCCACACTACATCAGTGAGCTGTGAGAACCAGAGCACAACTTGGCACCCAAAGGCAGCAACATGGCACCCTCTGAATGCAGCGGGGCTGTTCTGTAATATTAGAGATGTCAAAAGGGGAAAAAAAAAGACAACACAGGGCACTAAGGTCATCATCACAGCTATAGGAAACCTCCACGTGCAGATGAAGTGGCTGAGGCTGTGCATGCAGCCCCTCATCTCTACAGGACCCCCCACAGCATGTACCAGACGCACCGGGCTCCTTCCCTAAGCCTCAGGCTGCTTTCGCAGCCAGGAACAGGGGGCAAAGCACGGGGCAACGCACCCTTCAGGAGGAAGCCAGAGTCAGCGATGGTCTTGTGCTGTGACTTCCAGACTCGGTAGAGCTGCAGGAACGCCGCCGCATACAGGTCGTTCAGCACGGCGATGACTTGCCGCCTGCGGTTGCACTCCCTGGCCGGGGGCAGGGGGCTCAGCCAGCACTGCCCACCAGCCCAGCACGCCCAGGGGAAGCGCTTTGCTCCGTAGGACTGAGCAGGGCTGCTCCTCCTGCCCAGCAGCCCCACTGCACAGCTCACGGCTGCTCACACCTCACCTGGAGAGACACTCCTCCCTCAGGGCCTGCAGCACGAGGCGAGTGATGTTCACAGACATGATGCAGAAGGGGAAATTCTGCAAGAGAACAAGACTTGCGTCAGCTCTGCTGGAAGGGAGCTCCTCTCTTCCAACACTCCTCTCTTCCAGCACTCAGAGGTGCCCAAGGACCCCTGGCTTCGTTACGCTGCATCTGCATGGCTCCAAACCCATGCTGTAGGTGCAGGTAAGAGATTCAGGGATGGGGGCAGTAATACAATGGGTACGGGCTCAGATGGACGTTGTGCCTCCAGCCAAGCTCCCATCCAGGCTCAAGAAGTAAGCTGAACATGCAAACTTAGGATGCAAAGCTTAATATTGGCATCTCACATTAAAAACATCTTTGATCCAGGGAAGCTCTGTTCATCAAAATCTTTTTTCCAGCAGAAAGCCAACCCAAGAAGTTTGGCTTCAGCCCTTATCAGCACTCCTCAGCACTTCAGGGCCCACCTTCCTCACCTGACCAATGGGAGGAGGACCACACAACCATCCAAGCTGCTCAGGCTGATGGAGATATCACTGACAAACTGCCACCAAGCAAAGAGCAAAATGCCAAGCCCTAACTCTGAAGAGCAGCAGGTTTTCATTGCTTACCTTTCCCCAAACTTCAGAAAGAAATAGGTAAATACCACAGCAGAGGGCGAGCAAAGAAGGAGGAAGGACGTGCCTGTGTCTCGTGCCGGGAGAGCCTGAAAATCTCTAGAGCTAGAGGCAGTGTCTGAGAGTCCATCACAAAGTACAGCATTTGCATCAAGCCCAGCATCCCTGTCCCTCGCAGGTCGGTCCCTGGATCTGCACCTGGAAAGCAATGTCACTCTGGTGAGCCTGACACCTCCCCTCCTTCTTGGGCCACCTGCACACAGCCCTGGCATTTCATGAGCAGTGGAACCACATTTGTTATCTTTGGCAGTGGCATCCTGGGGGAAAGCTTTTTGGGAATTTGCCTACCAGGATTCTTTCATGCAGGCACCAACAGGCACCTGCTCTCCCACTCACATGCTTATTTCCATAACATCTCTAAGAATTAGAGTCCCAAGGCTGAAGCCCAAAAGCAGTTGTTTACTTGATGCTATAGAGGAGAGGGAGTCGTTCACCTTCTGCTGAGGGTTTCATTAAGAACTGGCCTATTAACTCCAGTCAGGCAGACTGAAAACTCGGGTGAAGCTGCATCCAACAAGGCAGAGACAGCTTTAATCACACTGTTTTCATTACCCAGCAGAGGCTGAAAGCAACCTGTGACACAACCCCAGTGCCAGAGCCCTGACTAGAGCTTCACTAATAAACCAGCCTTCCAGAGACGCCTCATTAGCCACAGCAATCACCTGCTAATGAAGAACATTAACGGCCCCAGAAAAGCAGCTACAGCAGCTACTTCTGTAGCACTGGTTGGATACAGGTAACTGTGCCAGGGGCAGCAGCTGGCACTGGGCAAACTAGGCCAGATGTTATCCCACCTGTGACAGCCGTCTGGAGCAGCAGCAGCCACATACCTGCTCCAAAACAACAGCATGAACAGCAGCTGCACGACGGGAAAGGGAAGGAGCACGGCTCCAGATCCCACCTCTGGAGGAGGGAATGGGAACAGCAAGAGCTCTCTGGGCAGAGGTTTGTTCTTGAGGTCTCTCCGTGTTGTACCTTGAAAGCCAAGCTCCTCCCAGTGCGTGCCGTAGCGTGGGCATCCCAGCCGGGAGCAGGTCAGCTTCTTGTAGATGGTCTGCAGGATTCTCATGTGCACTGCTTGGTTATCATCCAAGCCACCTGGCAGAGGAAAGACACCGAGCAGCCTGCTGCCCTCAGCTGCCACCAGGGGGACGTGGTGGGACAGCAACCACCACCTGCTGCAGGGTGTAGGCCAGCTGGGAACAAAACCCCACAGAAAACTGCTTAGGGCAACAGGGAGAATGTCCTCCCCTCACTTACCCTGCTGGAGAGGTGAACAGAGGGAGAAAACAATGCACGAGAGACACAGAAACACAATACAGTGCATTGTATAAGTGCTGGGGTGCTGCAGAACTCCAACATTGTGAAATTTTGCTGGCTGAGGCAGCACTGACAGGGGAACCTTGACAAACTACGAATCTCAGGCACAGGTGAGGATTCTCCTTGTACAAACGTGCTCAGCACGAGCAACCCACCATGGAGCAGCCAGACCCAAAGGCTGTGCTGGATGCAGAGCGAGGACAGGAGCAATGGCAGGATGAATGCTGCCCCAAGGAACCTGCTTTAGCAGCGGGGTTGGGCTGGATGATCTCCAGAAGTCCCTTCCAACCCCTATGATTCTGTGATTCACATCTCGTTTGCTTTGGTCAAGGAAGGGCTGTGCAGCCCCAGCCTGGCACCATGCAGCCTTCTCACTGGAAGTAGACACATGGAAGAGCTTCTGTGGCAGAAGGAGTCAGGAGATCTGTCCTCCTCCACCAGCAAACATCAGTGTGTTAGTAAAGGAAACAGGATCACATCCTTTGGGACAAGCACGCTGCCACAGGTAAAGAACAGACTGTGCTGTGCCCAAGACCCACTGAGCTGCTCCACACGAATCTCATGCAGGAGTAGCAGTGCTCAGCGTGACACTGGTGGGGACAACAGCACAAGTGTGGCAGTTTGGGGGATGTGAGGGAACACTCACAATGAGCAATGGCAAGAGCCAGGTCCCGCTCGCCCTGCAGTTGCTGCTGGAGCCGGGGGGGCCCAAAGAGGAAGTGAAGCAGAGCAGCCAGGCCCTGCCTGTGCACTGTCGCTTGGATCTTCTTCTGCGAAGAGGAGAACAGGCAAAGAAATGAGGGCACATTCATCCCCTGAGAGAAAAGCCAGCAGGTGAGCTGGGAGGAAAAGGGATCGCACAGAGCTCGGCTGAGGGAGGGCAGAAGCAATGGGAAAGAGGAGCACAAGAGAGAGCTGCCCAACCAGAGAGCACAAGGCAGGGAACAACTCTGGAGTGAAGGTTGGAGCCGCTGGTCCTGCACATACCCTGCACTCGGACAGGTCTGTGGTCTGGAAGAACTGCAGTGCTTCGTTGAAGGATATGAGGGGCACAGGACCAGCTGATCTCCCCAGCAGCACTGCAGAACAGCATGGGACAGCATCAGCCCTGCATCCATGCCAGGGCAATGAGTGCCAGAACCTGTTCTGCGTGACCCCAGAGCAGCAGCTGCATCCTGGGGAGCTGCTCTACACACCTTGCTGCTGCAGTAACACCAAGGCTTGGGATAGTGGGGAATGAAGGGAGCCTGCAGCCAACTCCTCCTCCCAGCCCTTCTGCCCTTTCCCCAGCTCTCCTCCACCACCCTAACCATGCCCCTCTCCAGCCCCTCTGTGAGCTGTGGCCCCATCCCACACACTTCTGGGACCTGTACCTGACTGGATATCCTCTACCGCCTCCCACTCCTCCTGGGTGCTCTGCTGCTCCACACCGATCCCTGCCAAGGGAAGCACACACTAGAGGCAAAAGCTGAGGAAGACCCCGAGGGGGTCACATGCCCACTGTAGCCTTTATCAGGACACTTTCATAGAGCATCCCCTGCCCTGCGTGCCATGATGAAACCCAACAATCCCTACCCCAATGCCTACAGGAGGCTGGGAAGCCTCAGGGCTGGGATCTCAGCCTAGAGCCCTTGTCCCCAGCTGCTCCCAGGCCCAGTGCTGCTCACCCCTGACATGTGTGGGAAGGGGCTCAGGGGGCAGCGGGAGCTCCTCGGGCTGCGTGGTGTCCACCGGGTGGGCGTTCATGGCCTGTGGGGGGAAGGTGGTGCTGGTCAGTGGAAGGCCCTGGGCTTCTCAAGGGTCCCCAAAGCTCCCTAAGCTGTCCGCAGTGGTCCCTATGTGGTCCCCATTGGTTTCCAAGGTGGCCTATGGGGGCCCGAACGTACCCAAGGGTCCCCAGGGTTGTGTGAGTTACCCAAAGGGGTTCCAAATCGGCCTAAGAGGTCCTCAAGGGGTTGCACAGAGTCCTCAATGCGGCCTGCGGGATCCCAGACACCGCCAGGAGGCCTCAAAGGCGCCCACAGAGTCCCCAGCGCGGCGCACGAGGTCTCCAGGTGCTAAAGGGGTCCCCAGGGCCCTGCCCACCCCCGTTGGCCTCCACCCCGTAACCCCGCCCCCGATCCTCGCCACGGGTACCCTAGCCCCCCGCTGGCCCCGCACCCCGCTCCCCCCGCCGCTGCCCCCGGCTCTGCCCTCTGACCCCGCGCCCACCGGAAGCGCCGGCGGGACCTCCCGGCCGCGACCCTCCCGGCCGCCCCGCAGTGCGCAGGCGCCGCCGCGCTGCCTGCCGGGAGCTGTAGTCCTGAGAGCCAGCGGGGAGCGCTCAGGACTGCAACACCCGGCATGCACCGCGCGGGCGGGGCACGGAGGGGGCAGGGCTTGTCGGATGGAAGCGTGGCTTAGTGTAGGGGGCGGGGTTTGTCGAGGGGGCGGGGCCGGGAGCGGGGCCAAACGGCGGGCAGCGGCCCCGGGCAGCTCAGAGCTGCCGGCAGCGCTATGGGGCCGTACGCGGTGCTCGCCTTCCTCCTCCTCCTCCTCCCCGTCGTTCTCGCCTTGTATCGCTGGATCGGGTCCCGCGGCCCCAACCCCTTCGCCGTCGATACCCGGCGCCCGCCGGCTCCGCTTATCACCGATAAGGCGGTTCGTCGGACAGTGCTGAAAGCAGGTATCCCGTCCCCGTGCCGCCCCTGGGACCTCATCCTCGAGATGCCACAGATAACACGGGACCCCCGTGCTTCCCCGGCGTTCTCCGGGTGCCCCGTCCCTATTCTTCCCCGGGATGCCCCGGGACTGCCATCCCCGTATCCCCCCGAAGTGCCCCCCAGCAAACCCCGAGACCCCCACTCCCGGTGCTCCCGACCCCGTGCCATCCCAGCACCGATGACGTTTTGGGTGCCACCCCCCACTGAGGACCCCCCATCCCGCAGTTTTCTCTCCAGAAAAAGTCCCGGAGAAGCTCGATGCCATCGTCATCGGCAGCGGCATCGGAGGGCTGGCGGCGGCTGTGCTGCTGGCCAAGGTGGGCCGGCGGGTGCTGGTGCTGGAGCAGCACGGCAGGCTGGGGGGCTGCTGCCATGCGTTCAGCGAGAAGGGCTTCGAGTTCGACACCGGTACATGTGGGCACGGGGAGGGCAGGGGGCTGCGACCCAAACCTTTTTGGAGGGGATCTGGCCGGTTGGCTTGCACTGTGGTCCCAGTGGGATGAGGGGAGGTGGATGGCAGAGCTGCCTTTGCCCCAAATCCTCCTTCTTTTGAAGGACGTGGCGGTGGTGCTGCCCATAGCAGTGCTGGCACTGAGGCATGCCCTGCTGGCGTGCTGCAGGAATGGGCCCAGAGCCTGCAGCATCCCCTGCACAGGCAGAGCCCCCAGTGAGCCCTGCGTGCCCCTCAGCCCATACACAATTATTTTCAGCAGCGCAGCACAGGGCTCTATTAATGAGTACCCGCATTCCTAATATGCAGTGTTGAGCAGCTGGGTTTCCCTCGGAGCGCAGACTCTGCACCCCAAGTGGGGCAGTGGGGGCCGCAGTGTAGGAAGAAGAAGCACCCCTAATCTCACACACACAACTTAACACAGCGTTACTCCACAGGGATCCACTACGTGGGGCAGCTGCACGACGGCTCGCTGTGGCGCTTCCTGGTGGACCAGCTGACGGACGGGCAGCTGGAATGGGCCCCCATGCCTCCCACCTTTGACGCTGTGGTGCTGGGAGAGCCTGGCCGTGACAAAGCCATCCAGCTCTGCACCGGGACCAGGACTTACTTCAACAGGCTGAAGGAGCAGTTCCCCGGTGAGGAAGCTGCCATCGATGAGTTCAAGCGGCTCGTGAAGGTAACGGGGCCGTGGGGCTGCGCTCACTGTGCTTGGCTCCACTCGTGGCTCACGTGCTCCTTTCTTGGGGGGGGGGGAAATTCCTGCCCTGTGGCAGCCCGGGCGCAGCTGTTTGGCAGTGGCACAGCGCAGCCACGTTGCACAACTGCACCAACGTGTTGCACCCGGAGCTCCTAACCCTGCTCAGAGGATGCCCATAAGGCACTCAGCTGTGCTCTGAGTGGGGCACAGGGACACAGAGCCCTGCAGCCTCCACATTTGCGGGACGATGCTCCAGGACCTCCTGGGTTATCACGATTAACATCACGTGGGGTTAAAGTGGGATTTGTGCTCTGCCACCCCTGGGAAGTGGGGCTATGCTTTGGGGGTGTTCTGTGGGGTCGGGTGCTCCCCTCCCCACAATGCTGCAGATTCACATCCCTGCCATTTCCTAAGCAGCAAATAAAGGGAGAAATCTCATTTTACAACCATCCCCTGGCTGCTTGCAGCCTTCCCCAGAGCAGGGGGATACCTAAAGGTCCTCAAAGGGGTCCTAAGGTGGCTTAGGGGACCCCGAAATGGCTCAAGGATTCCTCAGAAGTTCCCAAGGATTCTCAAGATGATCTCAGGAATCCCTAAAGGTCCCCCCAGTGAGCTCTGTACATTGCTCTCCTCTCTTGCAGAGTGTCACCACAGGGTTCTGGGTTCTGGGTGTGCTGAAATTGCTGCCGCTGCCACTGGTACGGCTGCTGAGCCGCTCGGGGCTGCTGTCCCTGCTCAGCCCCTCCTGCCGGATGACCTCACGCAGCGTTAAGGACGTGGTCGATGGCCTCACCACCAACGCCAAGCTCAGGGCCGTGTTCAGCTACATCTTCCCCACCTACGGTAAAGTGCCAGGGTGCTCGGGCACACCTAGCAAAGTTGGACCCTTTAAGAGCGAAAACGAAAGGCTTCTTTCCCCTCTCCCTTCCTTTCTCCCCTCTCCCTTCCTTTCTCCCCTCTCCCTTCCTTTCTCCCCTCTCCCTTCCTTTCTCCCCTCTCCCTTTAGAGGCCCTCACTTTGCACACCAGACCCATCCTGCTTCCCACCCCCACTCCCACTTCACACCCCTGCTTTGCCTTTGCATTGCACCACCTTGATGGAACCCCCGAGGGCAGGACGCCTCGTGCATCCTCTGCACCCACCCCATCCCGGGGCCTTTCCCATATCCTTCAGCTTCCCTGCAGACTGCAGTTCTCCCGCAGGTGGAGGAGTGGCTGTCCTGCCCTGACCCGGTGCCTGCAGCCCTTTGGCCCCGACTTTCCTCCCTTGTGTCCCAGTTCTGACTGACTCAGGATGCTGGAGTGCAGCCAAGGGTTGTGAAACCCAGATCTGCGGGGTGATGCCCTGGGCACATCAGTGCCAGCTCCTTGCAGGGACCTCTGCTCCTCGTTTCCTGCATGCTTCCCTCCAGCCAAACCTTCCCTCATCCTAACCCCTTTGGGTTACTCTGTAAACCCGGTAAGACTGTGCTGTGCTCCCCTTCCAGGTGTGCTGCCCTCCAAGGCCAGCTTCTCCCTGCACAGCATCCTGGTGCAGCACTACCTACGGGGCGCATGGTACCCCAAGGGCGGTTCGGGGGAGATTGTCTTCCACACCATCCCCATCATCCAGAAGGCTGGTGGCAACGTGCTGGGCCGGGCGCCGGTGCAGAGCATCCTGCTGGACTCCCAGGGCAAAGCCTGCGGTGAGCGACACAGCCAGGACACGGCTCCCCCCATTCCCTCTGTGCTGCCGTTACACTCAGCCCTCCTCCCTCCCAGGTGTGAGCGTCAAGAAGGGCCAGGATGTGGTGAACATCTTCGCCCCCATCATCATCTCGGATGCAGGGATATTCAACACCTATGAGCGGCTGCTGCCGCCCGAGGCGCGCGCTTTGCCTGGTAAAACTCCTCGGTGCAGTGCTGGGTTTAATTGGGATTAGGGCACTAATCCCGTCTCAACCCCAACGCCCCATCAGTGAGTGCCATGGTAATTCCTTCCCAGACAGCAGCAAAGCCCGGTGCAACCTGCTGGGGGCTACAAGCATTCAGAACAGGAGCACAGGAATCACAGAAAGTAGTTAAATACACCCCAGCCCCACACTGGGCTTGCCCTAAAACTCCCCAAATGGGAGCAGATCAATCAGCAAAACCTCCCCAGACAGGGAGGCACAGCACCACCACTTTATGGCTCCCAATGGTCCTCCCGCCCCATGGGTGCACATGGGATGCTCTCAGCTAGATTCTCACCGACGGGAGAGACGTGGGGCTGAGCACAGCTTCCCCTCCACCCTCACTTTCCACTCCTGCCCTCCGTTCCACAGAGATTCAGTCCCGGCTGCGCATGGCGACTCACGGCGAAGGCGGCTTCTCCGTATTCGTGGGGCTCAGAGGCTCCAGCCAGGAGCTGGGGCTCGAAGCCACCAACTACTACATCTACTCAGATAACAATCTGGACCAAATGTACGTTCTGCTTCACTAAGCATTGAGGAGAGACAGTTTCTGGGCGGTGACTCAGAGCCCCAACCCCACCCCAAACCTCTGCATCTCTCTACAGAATGTGGCGCTACTACAACAGCTCCCGTGATGAGGCGGCTGCCAACATCCCCCTGCTGTTTGTCACCAGCCCGTCTGCCAAAGACCCCACGTGGGAGATGCGGTACCCAGGTGATGCAGCGCTGCGGAACCTCACTGGGCATGCGTTCCTTGGCCAACCTCCAGTGCTGCCACATCGCAGCATGGGTCTTTGCAAATGGGGGCCGTGAGCTGGCTTCATTCGGAGAGTGGGCCGAGGGCCTCCAAGCTGCTGAGTTTGCGGGAGGTTCACTGCAGCTACAAGGAAGGGAGGAGAGGCCCCACTGGATGCCTGCACCAAAGGCTTGGGACCAAAGCTACCCCAGTGTTGGCATGAGAATGGGGATTTGGGGTTTGTGGCACCGAGTGAGTGGAGGGATGGATGCCCCAACCTTGTCTCCCTGCAGGTAAAAGCACATTGTCCATCATCACCATGGCCAAGTATGAGTGGTTTGAGGAGTGGAAGGACAAGCCGGTCCATAAGCGGGGAGATGCTTATGAGGACGTGAAGAAGACCTTTGTGGACGCCATCATGCAGACCGTCTTCAAACTGTACCCCCACATCGAGGACAAGGTGAGGGGATAGGGGGTTTGTGGCTGTTGGGGTCAGATCCTGGCTCCTGTCTGCCCTGCACACACTGGGGCTGCAGGGGTGAAGTTTGGCTGGGCAGAGGGGCACAAACGCGTCAGACCAAACGTGGCCTCAACCACCACCCAAAAGTCTGCAGGGAGGTTTGTCCCATACCACGCCCCATAAAAACAGCATTCCTGAGCACTATGCCTGCTCCATTGGGACCACCGCATCCTTCTGTCCCCCACAGGTTGAGTACGTCTCGGGGGGGACACCGCTGACCAACCAGCACTACATCGCCAGCCCCCGCGGGGAGTTCTACGGCATGGACCACGACATGGCGCGCACGCAGATCGAAGCCGTCGCCACTGCGCGGCCGCAGACCGCTGTCCCCAACCTCTACCTGACAGGTACCCTCCTCATTCCGTGGGGAGGCTCTGGGGAAGCAGAGCGGGAGGGCAGAGCCTTCGATTCTGCAATGACACACGGGGATGAGCTGCTGCCACGCTGCGGGGTGATGCTCGAACCGCATCAAAGCTCCTCCCTGCCACTCAGCCCCAGTGGGAGGCATCGCGTGTCCCCCAGCCCCGGGGTGCAGCCTCCCTGCCTGGCACTGTTGTGCTGAGCTGGGCAGGACAAAGCCCTCTCTGTGCTGGGGATGAAGAAGGGTCGGGATGCAGAGCTGGGGGTGGCACTGTCCCCTCTGTCTCGCAGGGCAGGACGTGGCTGTGTGTGGCTTCGCTGGAGCACTGCAGGGAGCTTTCCTCTGCACCAGTGCCATCCTCAAGCGCAACATCTACCTGGACGCCATGCAGCTGCAGAAGCGCGTGCAGGGCTCCAATGGCAAGAAGAAGATCTGAGGCCGGGTCCCACCGCCAGGACCCCCTCCCCTCCCTGGTGGCTTGCTTGCATAGCTTGCTCTGCTCTTCCCTAATGGCTCTGCGGGATCAATGCCAGTCCCGCTCCCAGCTTGGTCCCATCCCACTGCAGCTCATCTCACCGCGCCACCACCCACACTGCTGCCTCCTCCCCACTGCCCGTTTGAAGGGAAAAGCCCTTTTCCCAGCACAAGGAAGAGAAGATCCTGATCCTGTACAATCACAGCACCACCCAGCACTGCTGGATGCCCTCCACTGTCAGAGCCACTTGGGCCCTGGAGGAGCATCCAACACTTGCCTGGCTGAGGGCAGCGAGTCCCACACCGCTGCTTTTCCCCTTGCAGACACCAGCTTTGGACTGAATGAAGCTGGGAAAGCTTTTCATGGTGCCTGCATCCCCAGGGCAGTATAGGTTGAGGAATGAACCCCTCCCTCTGCACACAGAGCCGCCCAGGCGGCATGGGACCGGTTTTCCATCAGACCCATTTACCGTCAGCCCTGCACTATGCTGGATGCACATCTGCTCCCACGCTCTGCACCCAGTGCTGTGTGAGGAAGGAGAGGCTCCAGCCTGCATGTCCGTGCCAAGGAGCCCTGCTCCAGGCTGAGCTCAGTGGGGCAGTAGAGGAAGCGCTGTTGTGTGCCAGCATGGATTGCACTCAGGGTGGATTGACTTAAGGCGATGTAAAGCTGTTCAGGAGCAACAGCAGCGCTTCCAGATGGGATCTCGCTGTGAATGTGGCCCTACCATGCTGTGGAACTGTCGGTTCTGCCCTCAGCTGATGTCATGTCTGTCTGTCTGCTGGGAAACATTTGGGAGTACAACCAAAGCCTTCACCACTGCCCTGGTGCTGGGAAGGGTGAGAAGGCGAGAAATAAAACAGCCTTGTGATGGGAACAGTGTGCCTTGTGCTGGGGGAGCAGCGGGGTGCTGCCGGGCTGAGCCTGGGTCCTGTGGTTGGGGGACGGCAGCGTGGGGGAAGGCAGAGCTTGGGAAGGAGAGGAGAGAGGAGATGCAGTTTGGAGCCATCTGTGTGACCATCCTGCAGCGGCACAGGTCGCTCTGCGGCTGGCAGTGCTGTGCATGTGCCATCAGTGGGTGTCCCAGCACCAGGCAATGAGCGCTGCAGCGCTGGCTTTGTTCTGTGGACTTCAGTCTGTGTTAAAGTCCTGCTGGGAGCCCACGAAGGAGTGGTTTTCCCACTGCCAGCAATAGGAGCAGGAACAGCCGGGATGTGGGGGAAGCGGAGTGCTGCAGCCCTTGGAGAGGCGGGGAGGGCTTTTCCAGCTGCTCCCGCACTGTGCACCTTGCAGGCATCTCCCTGCAACCTTCTGCCCCCATCCCACACAGCAAGGTGCAGGCTCTGCCCTCCCCAGCCGTCCTTTTCCCCAAGCTGAGTGCCCAGGGGTGAGCCCGGATCTCCTGCCCCTGTGACTCACGCCCAGGTGAAATCTGGCTCCACAGCAGCTGACAGGCACTGCCCTGCAGGCACTGCATCAGCAGCAGACGTGTCCCGAAGGAGCACCTGGGGCTCGCTGCCCCTGCCCCAGGATTTAAAGGCCACTGAGCCCTCCAAGGGACCATCGGACATGTCCCGGCCACGGCAAAGCCGGGCTCTCATCATCGTCAACACCGATTTCTGCAGCAGTGATGGCGATGTGGGGCTCAGGCCCCGCAGAGGAGCCAGGAGAGAAGCTGAGAAGCTCTCTTGTGTGCTGGCGCAGCTCAGCTACAGGGTGAAGCTGTTGCACAACAGGACAGCCAAGGAGATGGAGGATCTCTACCAGCAAGGTGAGCCCCCAAACCACCTTCCTGCTCCCAGCTCCCACCTCCACAGTGCCCTACATCACCGCCCAGAGGCAGATGGGACCAACCCCCACCCACACCCAGGTCCTTGTGGTCCTTTCATCACACAGTGGGGCTCCGAGCCAGAGGTGGGCCTCCCAGCACCCTCACAGAGCACTCAGCTGAAGGCTGGTAGCTGAGGGTGGCTGTGCCCCACAGAGTGCGGCCGTGAGCACGGGGATTACTTCGTGAGCATCATCTCCAGCCATGGGGAGGAGGGGGCTGTGTTGGGCTGTGACTGCAGACCGCTCCGGCTCACCCGCATCTTCCACATCTTGTCGGCACAGAACTGCCCAGTGCTCGCGGAGAGACCCAAAGTCTTCTTCATCCAGGTAACACCACTGCTGGGCCATAACTGCACCCCACCTCGTTGACTCCGCAGGCAGAGACAGGGACAGGAGCTGCTGTAATTGCAGACTTTGCTACCCAGGTGCCATTCACCGCTATGCTCTATCTTTGATGCTTTTCCTGACTCTGAGGTCACCTCTGCCCCTGCCCGTGAGCACCCTGCATCTGCCTCAACTTTCACCGAGTTTCTCCCTTCCAGGAAAGGTGACCTTGCTGGGCTCGGCCTCCCTCCCAGATGCCACCGGAGTGTTGATGAGTTGCTAAAAGTTGCCCTCAGATTCCATGACGTTGATATTTGGGCAAGGAGCAGCGCGGGGGGGCTGGTTAGAAACACCCTGGCAGGAAGCGAGCCCCGGAGTGCACTGTGGATTAGGGAGGATTAGATGAGAGCAAATAGACAGTGCAGCAACCTGCAGCCTGGACACATCCCAGCAGTGTCAGCTCTGCAAACATGCAAATACATGGAAATCCTCGCCCGAGAGCAAGCACAAATCACTCATTTCCTGCTGGAAAGAGGGCTTAGCCAGCATGCCTGGCAACAGTATGGGCCACCTCCAGCAGCCAGAACTAGAGACCAGGATAGGTGGCTAGTGCCTTCAGGGCTGATCCCTTAGGGCATGCTGAGTGCCAGTGTGCTGCCGTTCCTTCCAGGCACCCCACGGGCCACGTGAGGATCCCTGCAGGCAGTGATGCAGAGCAGAAGTGGCTCTTGGAGGGCTGTGTGTGTGTCCTCGGGGTGGACCCAACCATGCTGGTCCTTCTCATCATTTCCTAAATTCCCATCCCTGGAAGAAAGCTCCAACAATTGCATAGGATCGGTGACTGCTGTGCTCCAAGGGGAATCTTCCCAAGTGGGCTCTGGTGTCACCTGGTGTAATCCTGGAGCTTGGAGGAACATGAGGGGAAGAGAGGCTGCCTCTCTCCTGGGGGGAGGGAGAATCACAGGACCATTAGGGCTGGGAAAGACCTCTAACATCCCCAAGTTCATCCCCAGCACAGCCCTCCATGCCCACTGTCCCTCAGTGCCCCACGGTTCTTCAGAGGATGGGGTGCCCAGAAGCCCCAAAGCCCCCTGGGTCTCCCTTGTTCAGGAGCAAAGCGCAGGGAAGCCAACGGCTGTGTTCTGCCTGCAGGCATGTCGGGGGGCTGCGCTGGACCAGGGGGTGTTTGTGGAGACTGACAGCGGGCAGCCAGAGCCGGGCAGCTTCTCTGAGTATCTGCACATCCCCCCTAACACCGCTGTGATGTTCGCCTGCAGCCCTGGTGAGGAAACCCCCAGAGAGAATCAGCAGGGAGAAGGGTCAGCACCTGCACTTCCATGCTCCTGGAGGCGGGGGAAGGGGCTGTAGGGGCATTTGTGGCTGTAGGGTCATGAAAGAGCTGTAGGGTCATGTGGCCCTGCAGGACTATGAGGGGCTGTAGGGCCAAATGGGGCTGTGGGGCCATGGGGGTCTGTCGGATCACAATGAGCTGTAGGGCCATGAGTTCTCCCCTCAGCCCCCTCTCTGTGCCAAGCAGGCCTCCCACTTTGCCCCATCCCCATCCCACCTCACTGCCCTCCTCTGGACGCTCTCAGCTTCTGTCCCTCTACACCGAGGCACCCAAACGTTCCATTTCCAGCACTTCTTTTTCCCAATGAGGGGCAGCGTGAGGCCCTCCCTCCCACCAGCCACACACCACTCCTCCCTCTGCACCCCACAGGCTACGGGGCCTTCCTGAACCCTGCGGGATCCATGTTCCTGCAGGCCCTGCTGGCAGCGCTGGCCGGGGAGGAGCGCAGCCTGGCCCTGAGCCGCATGGCCACCCGCCTCAACGCGGCCGTAGCCCTGGGCTGCCAGGCCCGGGGTGCCTACGAGGGCTGCAAGCAGATGCCCTGCTTCGTCACCAACCTGCCGCGGGACGTCTTCCCCTTCGCGGCGGCAGGTGAAGCCCTTCCCAGCACAGACACACAGGGAGGGATGGAGGAGGAGGAGGAGGAGCGGCAGAAGCCTGCAGCCTCTTAGGGGGAAATGGAGAAACACAACAGAAACCACGGCAGAAAGGTGCCCTGGGGCTGCCCAGGGTACGAGGAAATTCTAGGGTGCGTCGTTTCCCCATCACGACGTACTGGGATGGATGTCGCCCTGCGGCCCCATGGCAGCCCAAGCGGTGGCTATGCGGTGCTCCAGCCCACACACTCACTTATCCCCTCCATCTCCTCCATGAAAGAGCCCCAGTGCTGTGAACTCCACTTTATCGATTCTGTTACCCAAGTGACCCTGCACAGGGCTTTTTTTCTGAGGGAGGAAAGGCTGATGTTTGCCCTGCCCGCAAGGAAAACACTGTGCTGGTGTAAAGATGGCAGCAGGCCCAAGCTGTTTGTCTTTACATTTCTTTGTTCAAAACTTAAAAAATAAACAGAGACCAATGGTCAAACCCGGTGGGTTGACTCAGACCAGGAGTCAGGGCATGGCTTTGGGAACGTTCACCAAGGCAGACCTCAGCTCGTGACCAAAAGCTGCATCTTTGTGAACCTCCTCCTGTTGTGGGGAAGGGGAGGGTGACGCTCCCATTGGGATGGATGGGCTGGGACACCCAGTGGGCCCCATGCTTTTGCTGAAGGCTGGGTCTTCCCCTTTTCTCTGGCACCACAAACGAGCAGAACGAAGCCTCCCTGCAGCGCCTGCACGGCTCACCCTGTGTGCTCAGCCATTAAATTTGCATCGCCTCCACCCCGAGAGCCTCTCAGGCAAACTGTGCTCGTGTTGGTATTTCTCAACCCTGAGCAATACAGCTCCGATAGGCAGAGCCCTACCCTGTCCTGGAGATAGCTTTGGACTCAATTAGCAGGACTTTGGACTCTCAGCAGACAGGTGGTACCACTGCCCTGACTGCCCCACGCTCTGGGGTGCTCACATCACTGCCTCTTGTTGGGGGACCTCCTGAGCTGCTCCCTCCCTATGCACTTGCTCTGTCCATAGGAAGAAAACAGTTTGGAGACTCCTACAGGACTCCTATAGCATTCCCAGGTCAGGGTGAAGCTGGGCATAGGGCTTAGAGCTGTTGGAGGAGTCCAATTCTTGCTTCTCTGAGAAATGACACTGAAGATGCACACAGGAATGCCCCTTGTAGGAAGGCTCCAAAGAGCACTCCAGCCCAACACACAATCAAACAGTTTTCATTTTCAATCTCCTGCTTCCACCGTTCTGCCTCCCCCAGGCTCTCAGTGACCTGGTCAAGGGGGAAGAAATAAAAAAAAAAACCAACCACAAATAGCCCTCCCCTTATCCCAGCTTGTCCTCTGCCAAGCTAGAGGTACAGGGGCAGACTTCCTCCTTCCAGACAGAAAGTAGGGGAAAGTTCCTTCCACACACTGCACCCTCACCTGCCAGCAGCACCCTGCCCTGCGCTCCTCTCCCAGTCCATTCCAATGCCACCAGAGCTGGGTGCTGCTCGAAGAGCCTCCCTGTGGATGAAGGAGGAAATGCAGACCCTCGCCTGCTGCACCAGCCTGCTGCTGACCAAGGGCCAACTGGGTGAAAGGCAAAGCACTCAGGGAACTTTTCAAACAGCCTTCAAGCAATAGGCTGTCTTGTTCTGTTCCGGCTGCAGGGTGCTTGGTCATGTGAGAGCTGAACTTGCATTCACAAATGGAGGCTCTGCACAAGGCCTAGAGCATAAGCAATGATCAAAGAGACAGGAGATGGGGCTTCAAAGCTTTTAACACACGCACGCACGCACACACAGAACAGGGCTCAAAACTCTATTTTTTTAAATCATTTATTGACTTTACCACACTGGGGAAAAAAAAAAGTACAAAGAAATATAAAAATTCGGGTCCTTCAAAGCAAGTTGCATTGCACTGCAGCAGGAAATAAACTGTGCACTGCTTTGCACCAGCAAGGCAGCAGGCCCAGGAGCAGCCCCACCTGGAGAAAAATCACGTACCCACAGATACCATCCATTCAGAAATGTGCCACGGCCAAAAGGAAAAGGCTTCACACTCCTTGACCGGTTTGAAACACATTGCATAAATCCTAACAGCATTAAAAAGGGAAAAGAAACACTAGGAGTCGTTCCCAGCGGTTCAAGGCAAGAAGGGCTTCCTCCCTCTCTCCCTTTGAGATGAAAAAGCAGAACACAGTTGTAGCCTTCATGGCCAGACAGGGGAATTTCCCTGCCCTCATCACCCCGCAGCTGTGGGGAGGGTCGCCCTTCATGCAAGGCTGGGGACAGGCAGCCACCCTGGGCTCACAGGGGGGACAGGACTCCTCTGTGCAGCTCTGGGGGGGATGTATACCCATGTGAAGAGCCCTCCATGTGCCACAGCCATCATTTTCTGCCCATATAAGAAAAACAAACAAACTAAGAAGCTAGGCAGGCACTTTACACACATCCTTCGGAACTGCCCTGTCTCGAGTAAATATCTTTGGAGCAGAACTACAAAAATAAGACCAGCAGAACAGCTACAGCTCAGGAAGCAGCATGTTTTGCAGCCTTCAATACAACCAGTGCTAGTACATCCCAGGCCTTCATTTAAGTGCCCCACAGTGACACTGAGAAAACAGCAATAAGCTGCTGGTGAGGTGTAATTCAACCACATTAAATCTCCCAAAGTAAGGGGAGCACAGAGCAGCAGAAGAGCAAAGAGAGGTTTGGGAGCTGTAGGACAAACCCTGCTCACAGGGCAGCTGCCTGGGAAACACCTCAGTGCAGGAACTGCGCCTTTCCTGCTGAGGAGCCTCCGTACTGAAGAAGAGGAAGAGGTTTGAATGACTGCAAGTTTCATTCATCCCAAAATTCAGGACTATCAACCACTCTGCATCATCACGATGACATTTTAACAACAGGGAACAGAGTCATCTTTTGAGGTGAAATGTGCTCCATCACTGCAGCTGTATGGCACAGAACTTCATAAGCCTGAGTGGCTCGCTTTCACAGCATCAAACTAATTGTCTTCATTAGTGCAAGCATCTCAGCTGTGAGGACCACGAGGGAACACAGCCACATGGAGTACAACTGCCACAGGGCAAGTAAGGAAGTCTAAGATACAAGCAGAGGGCCGAAGGCAGATCCAGAGCTCCCAAAAGGTGTGCATTAAGGTGAGAAGTGAGATGTGAAGCTAACACTGCCTTCATCGCAGAGAGGAAGAAAAGAAACAAATCACAACAGAGTCCTTGGCAGATCATTTCCAAGCTAGTGCAATCACGCGCCAAACTTTAGCATCCAAATATAATGGACAGAGAAAGAGAACGTCTGTGCCTCCAGCAGGACAGTGCTGGTTACCAGGGCAGCTCTATGACTCTGAAGGGAGAGAATCAGATGGCTCAATTTGCAGGCAGATCTTTTTTCCAAGAGGAGACATCAGTACAGTAGATGGAAAATCCCTTTTCATTTGGACACAAAAGTTCTGTCAAGTGCCAGAGCTGGCTTCTCTTGGGCCACAGTCTAGAAGCCAGACACACAAGCGGAAACCGATTCAGGCCATTGGGAAAGGAGAAACACATTTTAAGGAAGTGAGAAGTCGAACGTTACCAAGGTGCAGGTGCAAAAGTAAAAGCATTTCCCCTTCCTCCTGCTCTCTGAGATCTGAAGATGACAGCAAAGCTACGATTCAGTGCTACCAGCAGGGCAGCCAGCCAGTGGTGTCCCACCATTCCGGTCTTGTTGTCACCAAGCACCTTTCTTTCACTGACCACCTGAGGAGGAATTTAGATCTGGAAAGGGAAAAAAGAAAAGCTAGAACAATGCAAAAGATGCACGTGAAATCAAAGACAAGAGACCCCCCCATCCCTCTACCTTCTGATCCAGCCGCTGATAATCGCCAGATTTGGGCCGCCGGCCGCCCTTCGATCGCTTCCCTTCCAGGGCAAAAGCAATGATCTTTGGAGAGAGAGGCAGGGACAAGGTGAGCAGGACAGGAATGACCACATGCAGTTTTCCTGACTTCTAACAGAGGCACTTTCTAGTGGGCCATTGAGAAGCCTCACTTGCCTCCTAAAAGCACTTGAAACAAACAAATGTCATTGTTTAAAAGCAGCTAAGACTGAAAACAGGAAATAATGAGGCTTTCCCAACATGCAGAAAACAGTTAAAAAGTTGTTCCCTCTCCTACCTCAAAAAGAGAAGGGAGAAAAACAGCAGAAAAGATGAGCGTTGTGTCACTTGGGCTGTATTCCCCCGTGCAGTGCTATTTAAAGACAAGTCTTTCGCAACCTGCTACAGAAAACTCATTGTCTGTGAGAAACACAGAGCAGCTGCACAGATCTTTTCCTTTTCTCCTCCCTCACCTCCGTTCCTCACTGCTGAAAATAACCACTGGAGTCGAGGCCATTCCATTTCCACAGAGATCCAAACACTTTCCTGGTTACAACACTCCTCCCTGCTCATCTCAAAGCTGTTGAAATCAAGGCCTCAAATTAAACATTAACCAAACATTAACAAGCAGGAGGTTTGAGCAGGAAGCAAAAGGCAAAAATGAGAGCAGCAAAGGGGAAAGATCCTCAATTGAGCATGCCCCCCATCTGCAGCGCTGCCCAACGACTGAGAAGGAAGCTCTTAAACCTCAGGGGGGAACTTGGGCAAGGAGCAGAGCCACTCACCTTCCGTTTGTTGTGATAGGCAACATACAGAGCAGCAACAATAATAGCCGTGGTCACCAGATAGGCAAAGAAGTGGCTGTTCTCTGACTTCTCCCCCGGAGAAATGGGAACACTCTTCTCTCTCTCCTTATTTAACAAGGCAGCACCGTTACCATTTCTAACCCCATCCTCTTCCTCAGGGAGTTCGTCACCATCTGGAGAGCCTTCAGTGTCATGAACAGATGAAACTGACTGTGAGGACTGGCCGTTATTCCCCAATGAGCCTGCCTGGGCGCCCTGACTGCTGTCCTGTGTGTTGGCATTGTCATGTTGCTGGTTGTTGCTGCCTTGCTGGTCATCCTGCTTGTTGGTGCTGTCGTGCTGTTGGTTGGTCTGGCTCTTGGTGTTTTCATGGTGTTCATTTGTCTGGCTGTTGGTGTTTTCATGGTGTTCATTGGTCTGGCTGTTGGTCTGGCTGTTAGTGTTTTCATGGTGTTCATTGGTCTGGCTGTTGGTGTTTTCATGGTGTTCATTGGTCTGGCTGTTGGTGTTGCGGTGTTCATTGGTCTGGCTGTCGGTGTTTTCATGGTGCTCATTGGTCTGGCTGTTGGTCTGGCTGTCGGTGTTTTCATGGTGCTCATTGGTCTGGCTGTTGGTGTTTTCATGGTGTTCACTGGTCTGGCTGTTGGTCTGGCTGTTGGTGTTTTCATGGTGTTCATTGGTCTGGCTGTTGGTGTTGCGGTATTCATTGGTCTGGCTGTCGGTGTTTTCATGGTGCTCATTGGTCTGGCTGTCGGTGCTTTCATGGTGTTCATTGGTCTGGCTGTTGGTGCTTTCACTATGGCCTTTCTGGCCATTTTGGCCATCAGTGTTGCCATCTTTCGGTCCATTTTGGCCATCAGCGTTGCCATTTTCCTCATCATTTTGGCCACCAGTGTTGCCATTTTGCTTGGTCTGACTGCCTTCGCTGTCAGTCTTGCTGTCCTGATGGTTGTTGTTGTTGTGGGCGTCAGTTTGGCTGTCACTGTTATTCTGGGTGTTGGATTGGCTACCAGAGTTACTGCCAGACTGCTTGCCATCGTTGCTGTTGCTCTGGCTGGTGCCTTGGCCAACAGTGCTTTGTTTCTCTTTCCCATCTTTTTCCCCTGTCTCTTCGGGCTGGTTCTTCTCATCCTTTCTCAGGTTTTGGCTTTGATCTGTATCACCTGCACCTCCCTTCCCATCTGTTGTCCCTCCGTTATCTCCATAACTTGCATTGTCGTGCTCTCCAACGTTTGTTGAAGGGTTGGTGGACTCCGAGTTCTCTGATCCCTGCTGCCCACCTGTCAGCAAACACACCGAGACCGCACTCAGTGCCAGAAGCACGTGCGGCTGCGCTAAACGGCTCCCGGCCGCCACGGCCCACCTCCGCCAAAAGCAACCCGACGCTCTCCCATGAGGGGCTGGAAGGGGAGAGCCCAAAAGGGGGAAACCCGGCGGCACGGCGCTCCCCAGGGACCGCCCCAACCCTGCACCGCCTCCCACCGCACTCAGGAGGCGCCCAGACCCCCCCGCAGACCCAGCGCCGGTGTAAAACCCACGGCAGTCGGACCCCCAGCCGCTCCCGGTTCCCCCCAGCACCCCGGGCACCTCGCGCTACCTGCAGCCCCGGTCCCAGCCCCGGTCCCGGCACTATTCTGGTTTGTGGTCTCAGCAGCGATTCCAAGCAGCAGCAGCAGAAGCGAGAGCAGCCGCAGCGCCATGCCGACCCCGCGCCTCTCGCCCGGCTACGGCCTGCTTCCGCTTCCGGTTCCGTTCAGGAACGTCACTTCCGGCAGGAGATCGTGCACATGGGCCGCGCGCCGACGGGGGGCGGGGATTATGGGGTGGGCGTGGTTTTGTTCCGACTGGGCGTGGCTATGCAAATCAGACGACCGTGCTTGGCGGGAGGGCCGCGCGCAGGCGCAGAGCTGCGCTTTGGGGACACAGTGGGGGTTTGGGGGCAGAGCCGGCGGTGTGGGGCCTCGCGGTCCCCTTCTCCTCGTGGGACGCCGCTTCTGGGGTACGACCCCTTCGGAGCAGGGCCGGGTTTCCCTGCAGCAGCAGACGCCCCCAGGTCCGCTGGGCTGGGCGGGGTGCGGGATCAAATCTATTAGCAAACGGGAGGAGTTAACGACGCTAATTAAAATGTATGCGCTGCAGCCTCTGCCCCCGGCTGCTTTGGCACGGCTCGGCGCGGCACGGAGCGGCAGGGCGACATCTGGCGTGATCCCCCCGCAAGGAGCGGTCCCGGGGAGCCCCTAATTAGCTCCATCTGCGCAGGAGACCCCCGGGACCTCATTAGGCATTTCAATTAACGAAGGGCCGGCGCTGCTCTGGGAGGGTGGGGGGACGCGACACGCTGGGGGGCTGTTTGACGGCCGCGAAAAGGAAAAGGGACGGAGCGACCCAAAGAAAAATGGGTTCCAGGTGCTGTGTGCCACGGCGAGATGTCATCCAAAGGGAGATGTCTGCTGCCGGGTGCCTGGTGCCACGGGGACTGGGAACATGGGATGCTGCACCAGCGACAGAGCCCAGGCTGGCCAGGACCCCGTGTGGCTGTGCAGGACGCAGTGTGGCTGTGCAGGACTCATTGTGGCTGTGCAGGACTCATTGTGGCCGTGCAGGACGCAGTGTGGCTGTGCAGGACTCAATGCCTTCGTGCAGCCCCATGAGCCGCAGCTCTGTGTGCCTCTCTCCTCCAGCAGGAATAATCCAAACCCGGAGAGCACCCAACAGATGTTCCTTCTCCGTATGGGAAAACTCCGAGCGAAACAAAGAAATATTCTCCTGCTGAAGTCCAACATCTGTTTGAAGCTGTCTGGCTGCAGTCCAGACTTTAATTCTTGTGACAGGTCTCTTCATGCCTTTAATTTCCCATGAAATCCCATTCAAGGCGCTGCTGGCTGCATCCCGCTCCCGGTGTCGGCCGAGCGCGGCTGCGTTCCCTTGCAGGACTGCGGATTTTTGGTTTTTTTGACCAAGAAAAAGCGGTGTTTTGGCTCTTTTGGAGCTGCGTGGGCTCCAGGCTGACATCACCAGCAGTGATTTGCAGAGGACAGCAGGGGAAAGCAGAGCTCCACCAATCCGGGTCTTCCCGCACGGAGCACGCTCACGCAGCAAAGTTGCAGCTGTAGATTTATTTCCTTTTTTTGTTTGTTTTGTTTTTGTGAAAAATAACAGGGATTAAATGGGAAACCCCTCCACCCGCATCCCCACCCCACACCCCCCAGCCCAGCACCATGCTGGGGGCCAGGTCCAGCTGCGGTGGGATGGAACTGGGGGCACTGGGAGCATTGGGGGCACCAGCGCTGGATGTCCAGCTTGAGGAAGGGTCCTTTTTTTTTTTTCTTTTCTTTTCTTTTTCTTTTATTCTTTCTTAAAAAAAAAAAAAAAAATACACTTTCCTCCCCCCCCCCCTTTTTTTTTCTTTTTTAATAAAAACAGTCTTTAGGTCGACTGCTGGTAAGGGAAAGCGGCTCTTCCTCTAAAGTCTGCTTCCCAAAAAAAAAAAAAAAAAAAAAAACAGTTCAGAAAAGGTCAAATATTGACCAATAATGGTTTGGCTGCGTTGGGAGTCGTGATTGTGGCGGTGCTCAGCGGGCGGGGGGCTCCTGTTCACCCCTCCCTCAGTCGGCCGGTTTGGTGACCAGCGCGAGCGGCTGCGTCTGCTGCGGGGCGGGCGGGGAGGAGAGCAGCAGCGAGGGGAAGGCGATGGGCCTGGGGAGCAGCGACGGGGGGGAGCCCAGGGAGGAGGAGGAGGAGGATTTGCTGGAGAGGAAGGCGAGCTGAGCCCTGGCCTCTGGCTTGGTGGTGAGCGACAGCGGCTGCGCCTGCTCCGAGTGCGTGGCGGCGGGCGCAGCCGGGGAGGCCAGGGCGGCCGATGGCGTGGCAGGCGAATCCAGCATGCTGCCGTGGGACGAGGCCGGGCTGTCGCAGGGTTTGTCGGGAGGCAGGTGGTGCGGGGCGCACGGCTTCTTGCTCCTGGAGGGCAGCGCGCCTGCGGGGTGCGGGGTGGGTGTTGAGTGGGGGGGCGACGGGGGAACGCGGTGGCCGCCCCTTCCCACCCAGGTACTCACTGTCTGCCTCGTGGCTCTGCTGCTGGGCCAGCTTCTCTCGCTTCCTCTTCTTTTTCTTGCCCTGTGAAATATGGCAAAGCGCTGAGGTGTGATGGCGGGACAAAGCCTGAGGGATGGTGATGTGGTGCCATGGAGCAGCGCACCGTGACACTGGGGGTCATGGTGACACTGGGACACGGTGACATGGGATCACAGTGACGCTGAGGTCATGGTGACGCTGGGGATCACAGTGACATCAAGGCTGATGGTGACACAGGGTATCATGGTGACAGAGGGGATTGCAGTGACACTGAGATCATGGTGACAGGGGACACAGTGACACGGGATCACTGTGACACTGGAGGTCATGGTGACACAGGGGACACGGTGACATGGGATCACGGTGACGCTGGGCTGATCACAGTGATACTGGGGTCACAGTGACATGGGATCACAGTGACACAGAGGCTCATGGTGACACTAGGGTTGTGGTGACCCAGGGCAGGTGACGTGAGCCAGCACCACGGCATCCCCAGGTCCTCAGCCCCACCGCCCTCAGCCCCCAACCCCTCCAGACTTTTGGGGATGTGGGTCACACTCACGTAGTTGTCGCGGGCTGACCACGTGGGGTAGAGCTGCGAGTGCAGCTGCCGCTCCTTCCGTGCCAGCTCGTAGTACTTGGCTTGCTCCTCCCGCGACAGCGAGTGCCACTGCGAGGGGAAAGAGCGCTGCGGAGCCCGGGGACACACGGCCAGCACTGCCAGCAGGTCCCCAGCACCGCCACGGCGGCTGGAGGCACGAGGGAGACGCGTACCCGCCGGCCCAGGATCTGGTTGATGGCCGCGCTCTCCTTCAGTGTGCACTCAGCCACCACCTTGGCCCTCATCTCCTTCATGTACAACATGAAGGCATTGAGCGGCTTCTTGATGTGGGGCTTCTTCTCCTCCTCCTTCTTCACTGTGACAGGGGATTTCCTGCAGGGAGCAACATGCAGGCTCAACTCCCCATCCCCACCCCAATCTCAATCCCATCCCATCCTCGTCCCCATCCAATCCCCATCCCCATCCCCGTCCCCATTCTTGTTCCCATTCCAAACTCATCCCAACCCCACCCCATCCCCATCCCATCCCACCTCTATCCCAATCCCCATCCCCATCCCCATCCCCACCCCAACGCCAACCCCAACCCCAATCCCATCCCATTCCCACCTCCATCCCATCCCCTTCTCCATGCCATCCCATTTCTGTCACCATCCTCATCCCCATCCCGTCCCCATTCATGTCCCTGTTCCCATCCAATCCCCATCCCCATCCCTGTCCTACCCCATCCCATCCCATCCCATCCCATCCTCGTTCTCATTATCTTCATCCTGTCCCCAACCCCATCCCTGCCCCACCCCATCTCATCCTCATCCTCGTCCTCATCCTCATCCTCATCCCCATCCCCATCCCATCCCATCCACACCTTTAACCTGACCCGCATTCTTATCCTCATCCCATTCCCATCCCATTCTGTCCCATCTTGTCCCCATCCCCAGGGCCACTCCCCCCCCAGGTCCCCACTCACGAGCTGCTGCCGGGGCTGGCACTGGGCTGGGCTGGCTCCTGCTTCACGATGGGTGAGACGATGGTGGGGTGTGGGATGCCTGAGGGGTGCAGCCCATGGGTGGGCGGTGGGACCATGTGTGGGGAGAAGCGGCTGGACATCAGGCTGCAGCAGAGGGAGCGAAGTCGTCAGCCCCAAACAGGCACCGATGGCCCCAAATGTCACCCCAAATCCTACCGAGGACTTCTTAGGATTAGAGATCCTCAGCCCCCACCTGCTGGGGACTGGTTTGTGCCTGAGCTTGGCACATGACACATGGCTCTTTACCCACAGAGTCACCGTGGGGTTGTTTTTGGCCAGCGTGGGCCACTGCAGTCACCCAAGGCTGGTCTGTACCCACACACAGGTCAGGGAGATCGGCACCATGGGATGTGGCCAAAACCCCGAGCCAGCTCAGGGATGCCTGAGAAGGTCCCTTGTCCCTGCTCAGAGCCACCCGGCCACGGGGACACACCAGGACGTGGGGACCCATGAGGACCCACCTGGACACGGGGACCCATCAGAACCCAGCAGGACACAGGGACCCACCTGGACATGGAGGCGTTCATGGCGAGGGCAGGGTAGGGGTGCCGAAAGCCGCCGGGGGGGATGGAGTACATGGGCTGTGCTTGCCTGCAAATGCACGAGCTGCAGCAGACACAGGGACAAGCCCCCTCCCTGCGCCACCGGGACCCTCGGCCGGGTCCCCAGCTGATCCCAAGGGGGACAACATCCCACATTTCCACCGGAGCGCAGTCCCTCCCTTCCCCACCCCATTGCACCAGGCTCGCTGGGAACAAAGGAGCCCATGAGGGGCGTCCCGTGAGGGGACGCGGTGGGGCTGGGGCAGGAGGAGCCCATCCTTACTGTGGCACGAGCCAGCCCAGCGGGTGCGGGATCTGACCCACGGCTCCTGGAGACAGCGGGTAGTAGGGGGGCAGCTCGGGAGGGTGCGGCGGGCGTGGGATCCCTGTGGGGGGAGCAGCGTTAAACCCGCCTCACTGTGAGCACCCACCTCCCTACGAGTGCCCATCCCCCTATAAGCATTCACCTCCCTATAAGCACCCATTTCCCTTTAAGCCGGGAACTGCCCACCTCCCTATAGAAACTCATGTTCTTATAAGCACCCATCTCCCCAAAAGCACTCACTCCACCTATAAGCGCCCCTCTCCCTATAAATATCCATCTCCCTACAAGCACTTACCTCCCTATAACTGCCCCTCTGCCTATAAGCGCCCACCTCCCTACAAGTGCCTTTCTTCCTCTGAGCACCCACCTCCCTATAAGCGCCCATCTCCCTACAAATGCCTCTGTGCCCATAGCATCCCTCCCCCTATAACACCCCATCTCCCTTCAAGCACTCACCTCCCTCTAAGCACTCACTTCCCTAAAAGCTCCCATCTCCCTATAAGTGCCCATCTCCCTGTTAGCATCCCTCTCCCCATACACCCCTCTCCTCCCCTCACCCGTTTTGGGGTCGATGTCAGGTGAGAGGTGCGCGGGCGGCGAGCCGGGTGAGAAGTGGTCATTGCTGTAGGTGATGAGCGGTGTCAGTGGGTGCATGTGGGGCGCGTGCTGCACCACTGGGACCTTGTTGGACTGTAGGGTGAGGGGGAGAAAAGATACAGTGATCCACCCCAACAACAGCCCCCCCGAAAGGCGCTCCCCCAAAACACAGTCCCTAGAAAGCCACCCCCTGCTGGAGCTCTGTTTGCAGCAGGTTTTGGGGCCGCATCTCAGTAGGGTTTGGGGCACATCTCTGTAGGGTTTGGGGTCACATCTCAGTAGGGTCTGGGGTCGCATCTCAGTAGGGTTTGGGGTCGCATCTCAGTGGGGTTTGGGGCTGCTGTCCTTACCAGGTGTGCAGGTGATGGCGAGCGGCTGTCCTTCAGCGTGGCCCCTGCCGGCACATCCAACAGTGGCCACTTCATCTGCAGGTACTGCCAGAGCAAAGGGCTGTCAGCACAGCACCCCATATCCCACAGCACCCCACCTTACAGCACCCCATACCCAACAGCACTCCACACCCCACAGCATCCCATATCCCACAGCACTGCATCCCAAAGCACTCACATCCCCAAACCCCAAACTCCCACTGCAGGCTCAGCTGAGGATGCCCCAAATCCATGGGGCTGGTGGCACATGGGGATGCCTCTTCTCAGCCCCATCAGCCCCACAGCTCCATAAAAGCAGATCTGGGAGACATGGCAATGCCCACTGGGATGGGATTCTCAGTCACACTGCCCCAGATCAGAGGGCAAAGACACCAAACTGCCAGAATGTGAGAAACCCCCCCAAACTCAACAAGGGCCAGGGGAGAGGCATGTATGGCACTTCTTGGGTTTTTTTTGGTGCCCCACCAGATCCGTGCGCTCCCAGCAGAGGGAAAACATAAAGGTGCATTGTGTGGTGCTGGGGAATGCAGCTGGGATGGGATGGAGCAGCTGTGCCAGGAATTTCCCCACCAGGAACAGTCCTGAGCCTGGGCAGCTGGATGGGATGTGGAGGGAAGGGAAGGGAAATGGAGGGGAACGGGAAGGGGAGGGGAAGGGGAAAGGGAAGGGGAAGGGAAGAAGGGAAGCCCAGCGCAGCTTTAGGAGCATTAACTCTCCCATGTCTGGAAGGAAGCAGCCCCACCTGCGTCCCCCTCCCCCACATCCAGCACCTCTGCTCCATCCCCAGCAGCCCCGCTCTGTTCCCAGTTCCTTTCTCCATCTCCAGTATCCCCTGGTGCCCCCAGAAGCTCCTCATCCTCTGAACGCTGCTGACATCCCCAGCACCACATCCCCTTGTGCCTCCAGTATCTCCCCTTCAGGCCAGTACTCCCCATCTCCTGTACCCCTCCGTTCCCAGGACCTTCCCTCCACCTCCAGCATCGCCATCCCTTCCCAGTATCTCCCCTCCATCTCCAGTCACCCCATCTCCAGGGGTTCCCAGGTGGAGGTGACAATTGAGGTGTCCCCATGCCCCCGTGTCCACGTAAAGGTAACACAGGAGGTGTCCCCATGTCCACATCAGGGTGACACAGATGTCCCCACGTCCATGTCAGGGTCCCCATGTCCATCTTGGGGTAACACACAAACTGTCCCCATATCCACACTGGGGTGATACACAAGGTGTCCCCATGTCCCCGGGGGGTAGCACAGGAGATGTTCCTGCGTCTGTGCCAGGCTGACACACCAAGCGTCCCCATGTCCATGCTGAGGTGACACAGGACATGTCCCTTTGCCCATGTCAGGGTGTCACACCAGGTGTCCCCATGTCTTGGGGTAGCACATGAGCTGTCCCCACGTCCATGTCAGGGTGACACAGGTGTCCTCGTGTCTGTGTCAGGGTGACACAGGAGCAGTCCCCACGTCCCCACATCCCTGCTGGGGTGCCATGAGGTATCCCTGCGTCCCCACATCCACCTTGGGGTGACACACCAGGTGTCCCCGTGCCCACACTGAGGTGACACAGGAGCCGTCCCCACGTCCCCGAAGGGGTGACCATGCAGTGCCTGCTGCGGCCCCTCGCCCCCCCGCCGCCCCCCGCCCATCACAAAGGCGCTTTCTGCTCTATTCTGTAAGCGGAGAAGCCGCTGGGGGACGGCGGCCGGGGCAGAGCTGTGTATAAAAGGCTGCTTCTCATTTGGAAGCCGCTTCAGGAGGCCGGGGAGGGGAGAGGAAGGGGGACCCTTTCAAAATATACAAAGAGGGGGGAGCTGGCGAACGGTTCAGTGCTAATGTGGAAAAATGAAGCCCCCCCCCCTCCTAACTCCCCCCTTTTCCCACTCCCACCCCCAACCCCGGACACAGCTCCCACTGTAGCACCACGCGCGGGGCTGCGAGTGGCAGATTGGAGCTATTAAGAAAAAAAAAAAAGAGGAAAATAGTTGAAAATCGGTCACATTCCAGAGAGATTAGAGCAAGTTCTGGTTCCTCGTTACCAGCTCCCCCCCACACACCTCCCCAATTAAAACCACGGGGGTTAACCCCTTCCCTGCCGGGCTGCAGCACCACTGTGAACCCTCCCATCTGCCCACGTCTGTCTGTGTGTCTGTCTGTGAGTATTTCTGCCTGTCCACCCCCCTCAGGACTGGGGGTTGGGGGGCGGCTGTGCCGCGTGGCCGCGGTGCGCTCGGGGAGGAGGCGTGAACGCTGCAGGATCCCCTAATGCCCAATTAGGGGCTTTAATGAGCGGATTTCCTCTCCTCTTCTGCACGGGGCTGAGATGTTTTCCTTGGGAAAGGGGGGAGTGGGGGAAAGCACCACTGCATGGTGGCACCGAGGGGGTGGCACATCCCAGTGCCTCACATCCCAGTGCCTCACATCCCAGGGCAGCCTGTCCACAGATCCCATATCCCAGCTCTGTGTATCCCAGTGCCACCCAGCCCAGCATAGCATCCCCCAGGACGGCCCCTCCCAACTTCCCCTGAAATCACATCTCTGTACTGCCGGATCCAAACTCACTTGGATTTATCCCAGAAGCCGCACAGGGAGTGGGGAATATCAGCACACCCTGCTGCTGTGGAGCTATGAAGCCCCGACACCCCAACGTCCCACGTCCCAGTGTCCCAGCATTATTCATCCCAGCATCCCATATCTGGATGTCCTGGCACCACATATCTCACATCCCATTGTCCTGGCATTGCACAGCTCAACATCTCACATCCCAGTGTCCTAGCACTGCACATCCCAACATCCCACACCCTGATATACTGGAACCCTGAACTCCCACATCCCAATGTCCCGACACTGCACACCCAAACATCCCAATGTCCTGGTATCACACATCCCAACATCCCACATCCCTGTGTTCCATCACTCTGCATCCCAACATCCCCCATCCCAGTGTCCTGAAGTCCCAGATCCCACATGCCAATTGGAATCCCACATCCCGCTGTGGGCACCACACATCCCATGCTCCAAAGCTGCACGGCCCAGCAGCACCAGTCCCAGCTCACCCACCACAGCCTCTCCTTTTGGGTGAGAAAGGGTCATTATGGGACCCAACCAGCCCCGACCCGCTTGTTTTCAGAAGGGGAAGCACAATGTGAAGGCTCTGTGCTGCATCACCCACCCCACACGATGCAGCCCCACTGCCCCCATGCCACCCCCCTCTCGATGCCAGCGCTGCCATACAAGCAGCCCCTGCCATCTGACTGCCCCAAAACACCTCCAGTTTGGCCCTTTTTTCCCCAAAACGCATTCTGGCACAGCACAGCAGGAGCTGCACGTTGGGTTGCAAGGAGTGTTTTGCAGAACCCCAGAAACCTTTGCAGGCTGGGATGCTCCGATCCTGCAGTGCTCCCAGCATTGGGCACAGCTGGGGTAAATCCAACCCAGTTTGGCACACGGGAAATGCAATTTTTGAGGAAAGTGGGTTTTGCAGGGGACACCTTATCTCCAATGCAGATCCCGTGGCACAGGGGGGTGGAGGAGGAGGAGGAGGAGGAGGAGGAGGAGGAAGGCAGCAGAGGAAGCGCAGGGAGCCGGGAGGAAGCAGAACACTGCGCCAGGATCCAGAGCATCACCAGGACATCATGGGGAACACAAGGCCTAGCACCCACGTCCTCAGCCCCACGCACACATCCTGGACCCCCGAACACTTTTTCTCCTCCCCCCCAAATAACCTCAGTGGCAGCAAGCTTTCCCTGCCGCCCCGGGGCTTTGTCTGCACCCCGTGAATGGCTCCATTCATTCATCCTGCGCTCACATGGCCGTGGCGCTGCGCGGTGCCGAGGGCTCCAGAATCCCAAACTGCGGGACCGAAAGGCACGGGGACAGCAGGAGCAACGAGGCTGAGCCTCAGCCCACCCCGCAGCCCTGGGTTTGGGGATGGAACCTCCAGAAACGGCATCTCTGCATCCTCTGCTCCGGGATGCTGCGGCTGGGAGCGCAGCGCCACGGGAGCACCTGAACCCACAGCCCCCACCTGCGGGCCCACATCGGCATTCCTGAGGTTTGGGAATCCTAGGGTTCAGGATTCCCAGCACGTGTGATTGATGGGATTGCTGGGGCTCAGGCTTCCCAGTGGGTGGGATTTGCTGGATTCTGGATTCGCGGGGATCAGGTTTCCCCAGGGCTGGGGTTCCTGGGTTCAGCATTCCCAGCACGCAGGACTGCCAGGGTGTGGGATTGCTGGGATCTGGGATTCCCAGTGCTCATGGTTCCCAGTGCCTGGCGCTCCTGGGGCTCAACCTTCCCAGGATCCTGGACTCCTGGGATTCAATACTCCTAGGATTAAGGAACATTAGGGCTGATACCATTCCCTGGTGTCAGGATTCCCAGTGTTTGGGATTCCTGGGCCTTGAGATCCCCAGGGCTCAGGACCCCTGGGGTTCAGAAATCCCAGCACCCAGAGCTCCCAGCACACAGGATCCCCAATGCCTGAGATGGCTGGGGTTTGGGATTCAGGATTCCTGGAGCTTGGGGTTCTTGGAATTCGAGATCCCCAAGGGTCAGAATTCCCACGGTTTGAGATTCCTACAATTCAGGATTCCCAGGATTCGAGATTCCCTGAGGCTGAGGATTGCTGGTGCTCTGGATTCCCAGATTTGGGATTCCCTGAGGCTCAGCATTCCTGGTGCCCCACACACTCAGCATTCAGGATTCCCATGGCGCACAACAAACACCCCAGAACAGCGCACACTGCAGCCATGCCCTTCCTCCCACCTCCTCCTCCTCCTCCCCCTGCTCTGGGGCTCAGCACCTCCCTCCATCTGCCCCGTCCCCCTCCATTCCATCTCCCTGCAGCCGTGATGCGCCAGGCGCTGCTCCCCGCTCCTTTCCCCGCTCCTTTCCCCGCTACCGCCCGCGACTTCAAGGAAGGGACGTTAATGAAAAGCAGCTGCTCGGAATTCCAGAAAGATGATGAATGCGCGTTAAGTCCCCCAACAAAACCAGGTCTTATGAGAGTCGCCCGGAGCACTTACTTCATTGCTTTAATTTGGGAATCGTGTTGGAAAAGGGAGGGAGGGGGCGGAGGAGTTTAGTGGAAACCTCCTGTAGGTCTCATTTAAGGAAAAAAAAAAGAAAAGAAAAAGAAGAAGAAAAAAAACGCGGGTTAATTAGCCGAAGAGCATAATTAAGAAGCAGACATAAAGGGCCCATTGTGTGCCAAGGGCTGAGCGCGAGGTGCTGCTCGTGGGGAAACCGAGGCACGGCACGGCAGCACCCGATGCTTCGCTCAGCGCCTGCCAGGCCGGGCTGGGGGGAAAAAACCCCAACTCTGCTGGTGCCCAGCGCCCGACAGCAGCAATCCCAAGCAGCACAAACCCCAAACGCAGGGCCGGATCCTGCCAGCACAGCCCCATGCCAGGAGCTGGGGTTGGATCATTGTTCTTGGCAGTGCTGCCAAGGGCAGATATTTGCTTTTGCAGACAGATCTGCCTCTGTGGGGCAGCCCACGAGCGGGAGCGTCCCTGGGAAGAGATCCCAAAAGAGCCAAAATCGGCCCCAATCCTGACCCGCTTCCCAAAGCCCCAAAGGTTCACCCTTCAGCTCTCCAAGAAATGGAGCAACGGGACGGGGTCAGGGCTTGGGGACAGGGCGGTCCCATTCCCATCTCCATCACGGGGAAAAAGGGCTAAAAGGCCCCCAAAAGCTGAACTCCTCCCTGTCTGTGGGTCACCCAGCAGTCGGAGCAGGTGGGCAATTTGGGAGCGAGGCAAAGGAACACGCCCACGGATGTGCCCAACTCGGTGTGTGACAGCATCGCCCCTCAGCCCCGTGTTCTGGAGTGAAGAGATGTGGGTTGGCCCCACACGGCACTGCCCAGCCCCTATCCCAACCCCAAACCCCAAACCCCTCTTCTTTCCCTGCAGTGGTTCATTCAGCATCGCCCCATCTTTTGCTTTCGGGGAGAAAAACGAAGGGAAAAGGCAAAAAGCGCAGCTCCAAGGAGCCCCCAAAGGAAAACCCCAAACCCCGGGGTCCCTTTGCTGACCCTCTCCCAAACTGGGGATTTGGGGCCGCAGGGCTCTGCCTGAGGCAGTTTTCCAGCCCAGCCTCAACGAAATCACAAAATAAAGTGCAGGCAAAGAGAAATGATGACTGGAGAACAGGACCGGCCATGAGGACGCGAAATCCCAACTGCAGCTCCCATACAGCATCCCATGGGGTTTCCATCCGGTGTCACCCACGGTGGATTTGGGGTTGGGAGCAGCATGGGATGCCGGAGGGGGCCGGGCTGCTCTCCCCCTCCAGCGCTCGCTCAATTTGCTTAATCAGTTTTCTAAACGCCAAAGCGGGGCCAGACAATGTCAGCCCATTAAGGGCTTTAGGAAGTCGCAGGGAGCGCTTTTCAATGAGAAAGGCGGTGCAGCCCGGGGTCAGGATTCGGGGCTGCGCACGGCAGCGGGGGGCCGGACCAACCAAAGGCCCCAAACTCAACCAGAAATGCCCAAATGCAACCAGACGCCCCCAAACCCAACCAAAGGAGCTCAAATTCAAGCAAAGGACCCTATAAACTCAACGAAAGAACCCCATAAACTCAGTCAAAGAACCCCAAACTCAATCAAAGGACCCCATACTGAACCAAAGGACCCCATAAACTCAGTCAAAGGACCCCAAACTGAACCAAAGAATCCTATAAACTCAACCAAAGGACCCCATAAACTCAAAGGACACCAAACTGAACTAAAGAACCTCAAACTGAACCAAAGGACCCCAAGCTCAACAGACCCCATAAATTCAAAGGACCCCAAACTCAACCAAAGGACTCCATAAACTCAAAGGAACCCCAAACTGAACCAAAGGACCCCATAAATTCAGTCAAAGGACCCCAAACTCAGTGGACCCCATAAATTCAAAGGACCCCAAACTCAACCAAAGGACCCCATAAACTCAGACAAAGGACCCCAAACTCAACCAAAGGACCCCATAAACTCAACCAAAGGAACACAAACTCAACGAAAGGACCCCACAAACTCAGCCAAACATTCCAAAGCTCAACCAAGTGCCCTAAGCTCAACCAAAAGACCCCAAACTCAACCAAAGGGCTCCAAACTCGACCCCATGGGCCCCAAGCACAGCCCAAGAACCCAAACGCAACCAAAGAACTCAACTGAACTCAACGCAAAGTCCCCAGACTTGCCCACAACACCCCAAATTCACCATGCAGTGCCTGGAAGGGATCGAGCGACCACAGAGCTAACAAACCCCAAATTCTTCCCATTTTTGTTGCGTGAGCAGCTGCACTGTGCCGACAGGCTGACACTTACGGTGCGGGCGCCGCCAGGGGACAGAGCTCCATTGGAGAGGTACGGGGTGCCCAGCTCAGGGAGCATCAGGAAGGGGTAGCCGGGGTAGGGGGGGCCTTTAAAAAACCCCCCATCCTGCTGTCGTCTGACCACTGGGGAGAAAAGGAGAGGGTCAGGAAACTGAGGGGGAGAGGGACCGGGGGGTGGGTCTGCATGCAGCACCACGGGGCCCATGGGTGGCACCAAGGGGCTCAGCTTCTTGCTGAGGGGGGGTCCACGTCTAGTCTATCTGGGGGGGTCCCAGTCCTATGGGGAGGGGGTCCCGTGGGGGTGGGCAGTGCTAAGGGGTGTCCCAGTTGTATGGGTGGGGGCCGTGATTTCATGGGGAAGTGCCATTCCTGAGGGGTTGCACTGCTATGGGGGGTCCCACTCCTACAAGCAGGGGTGTCAGTTCCATGCTGGGGAGCTTTCCAGTCCCCGTGGGGGGGGGATCCCACTGCTATGGGTGGGGGAGTCACAGTTCCACAGGTGGGGGTCCCAGTGCAATTCCGGGGTGCTCCGGCCCTACAGGGGGCTCCCGCTTTTACGGGGCGACGCCGATCCCCGCGGGGCAGCGCCGCTACGGCGGATCCCACTGCTCGGGGGGGTCCCGCTCCCGCGGGGGGGGCTGAGGTCCCAGCGCCGCTTCCCGCTGCGCGGGGGGGG